TAGTGCCGCGGTGGGACTTGAACCGCGAACCTTATGATCCACAGTCCGGTGACATATCCACTCGTCCACGACACCTCTACATTGATGGGGCTGTATGGCAATGTTGATTCAGTTACATTAAGTCTTATTACAATTATACAGCATTATATTTACATGCTCCAGTGATAATTGCTCTACAGCTAAGTGGAATATCTTCAATCTGAGATTCTACTGAAGTAAATATATCCTAATCGTAATTTTAACCCTTATCAAAGACCCAATGGTGACTCCACCCCTAATCCTAGGCCTATATCTTAATTAAATTATGCCTATAGCATGTTGAATGATTTCTAGTTTCCTTTTATTTATTATGAGTGACATGGCTCTTTAAACCCCATAAATATGTCCCTGGAACCTTTGAAATAGCTCTGGATTTTCATTTTCATATGACAGTTGTAGAAAGTGCCCATGAAAACAATTAATTTTTTTATAGAATGTCCATCAGCAAAAGCATTTTGATCTGGTTCAGTCAGTGATATATATTACTCCATAATGATCAAAGATATGCATGATGCTAGACTATTTATAAAGGAGACTTGAATGCATAATTACTCAAATTAAACACCCACTACATTGTAGGAGTTTAGAAATCTGAGCAGAGTCTGCAGAGAGTTCTAATTTCATCCGATTTACTGTAGGTATCGATCCACTCATGAGTAAAACCATTTCTATCACGTATCAACCGTGTCCATTTCATGGGTGCATGGCCCTTTGCATGCCAAATTTACAAAAATGTATACCGGTAAACCTCATTTATTAAATTTTCCCGGAGTTACAGGCTTATTTAGCTAGTAAATGTTATTTGGATTATTTTCAAGTGCTAAATTTGTTCACCACATAATAGCACATGACGTGGAAATATTTGTTTTCGTCTTTCAGACAATATTAATAAGTTCCTTGCAATTAATTCTATACAATGGAAGCAAACATAAAAGACACAGAAAACTATTGTATTGTCTGTTTAAAAGTGCTAGAAAGAATGTTAACTCTGTTTATTGAGTTAGCTCTACCCTGGCTCTCAACAGACGGTACATGAAGTGACAGAACAGGATGATGCTCCAAACATTTTCAAATGGAGAGTACTTTTTGTAACAAGATCGAGTTGCACTTATATGCCAGATTTGTGATGCTCAATTGAGGGGTCCGACCACTGGATGACAGCTAAAGGTTTGTAGAGAAAGGGATCATCTGATCATTAAACTTGTGCATCACTGTTTAAATGGTGACAGCCTACTGTTTGGATTGCAAACATACTGGATGAGAGAGAGAGAGCACCCCCACATTGTGCCTATTTATCAAAGTGCATCAGAACTGTGTGTCAGTGTTGTTCTACCTCTCATGTTTCTTGCTCCATCAGTGGGACTACTGGTGTTACCATGACAACACATGACAACCTGTTAAGGTGTCAATTAGGTCTTGCAGAGATGTTCCAATCCGGCCAGTGTTTCGGTAGTCTTGTTTTCAAGCAAAAGTTCATGGATGTATTCCAGGGCATATCTCCTGTTGCAATGTATGTGGGTTAAAGTGGATCATTTTGAGTGAGCATTTCAAAGCTAACAGTAAAAGGGTGTGATATATGCCCTCCACTGCTAGTGCTAATCTGCATTCATGTTCTGTCCTTATAACGGGGAGGGACATCATTAATGCATAGGCCTACCTACATTTACTTTCAAAGATAAAGCTAACATAAAACATGTTTGCAATGTGCACATGTTTTGCATTGATAAATTTTAAGGTGGGACAGCTATGTTCTTCTGGCGTTTTTGTGTGTGTGGAAAGATGTAGTCTGTGCCTTAGTTTTTCCATGTAGTTTATCATGATCTTTTGTACCCTTGTTAAATTCTTTTGTCTTTTACACTGCCCCCTATCTGACCTCACGCCTAAATTAGTGATGTCACCCTCCTCCTCTGGTGCATGTATCATTTGGCAGGCTTATATGTGTGTTCATAGTACAGGGTTGAAAACAAACTTTTTCCCCTTTACGCTAGCTCAAACAGGACGAGTGATTAATCCCTGTGGTGAGTGTGACTGTGTTGATGTTCACTATTAGTCTGCTTCCCGGCCGGCCGGCCCTGACAAGAACAGAACCTAACAACATTCCCCCTTGTTTCCCCTTAACCCCCTCTCGATCCCCTCCCCATCCTTTCCTAGTAAAATGACTCCAGGAAACATATCTCCTTAGGGTTGGATTGCATTCACAGTTACTCGATTACGAGTCCGCGAGAGTAGATAACATACCTCCTGTAGATCATGCTACATCTCCTCTTTTACTACACTAAATATTACCATTTTGAATGAATGACAGTGATTGCAGAAGAAAAATGATTGCACTTCTCTATAATATCAAGCTTGAAATGTATAATCATTAGATAATGATAATCTCCAGCTCTATCTATCCTTGATTAAAAACTTAGACTGTACTTACTTTTATAATGCAGAGTAAACGGGTGATTGAAGTTTGAACTTAATTTCAAGACAAAGATAAAGAGAGAGAGAGGGAGAGAATACAAGTAAGCATACCGGTACTCTTAAAGGTAAAGACCAGTTATGGTCATGCGATTGCATTGTGAAAGAAACGTTGTGGAATCGATCAGAAAAGGTTGATCATCTAGCTTCTAGCATCTGCAAGGTTCTGGAATCATCAAAATGATAAGAAATTTGGCCCATTCTTCGTAAAGTTACAAGCACTATACACAGAAAGATGTATATGGGACTACCCTATATCTCTCACAGACCATGAGAGAAACAAATTTACCAAATATATGAATTAGTAGGCGGTTTCCCGGCAAATTTTTTATTATCATGTATTAGTCAAAACATATTCTTTCACATGATTGGTAATGAGAGCTTCCATTTCATTTTTTGAAATTGGGGCGTTTCCAATACTGGTCTTTACCTTTAACTGGAAGGAAGAGATGAATTAGTGAGAATACGAGGTGCACAATTGGAGAATCCAATGGAGATGAAGACACAATGAAGGAAAGGCACCTGAAAACATTCAACACTTGCATAAGAGAAAAAGAAAGAAATGAAAGTTTAAGGAATGAGATGGGACAAGGAGGGTGGGGTGGGGATTCTTTTCCACCACCCTGGGATATTCCCAGGTGAATGCATCCCATCAGAATCGGCTCAACATGAAATCTCCATACAAATTGGTTTTTTAGCAGTGTTTTAGCTTCTCTCTCTCTATCTTAATACAAGGGGATAAAGAAAATGGATGTGCTTAATAAGGAAGAGTATAACAGATTCATTATGACCTTTGCTGCAACACACAGTTTCTGTTGTAATTTCTTAGTTTCTCACAGAATTAGAAAAAAATACTTTATTTCCTAAGAGCATCAGATTCCCTAGGTGGACAGATTCTCAGACGAAAAGTAATCTGTTGTAAGATGTGATACAGATTTCACACATATAAAATGCTGTTCCCCAAGTTTTGGTGATTGTTTAAGTTTCAAAAGGAAGAAAGATTAATACAAGTACATGGGTGAATTTCTTATGCTGTGTTCTAATGGATGCAATTAACCTATGTGCTATGCCAAATAAAAGTTTAATGCCACGAATAGAGCACATTTTCTTTCTAGTTTAAACTGAAAGCTGAAATTGTGACCATTAACTTCAATTCATTTGAAAAGTAGAATGAAGCATAGATTATCAGCAGTGAAAACACTAACGTACCACATACATGTATGTATAAGGCTTCATTTAGTCAAGTTTTAAAATAGATTTTGTTTTTCCAGCAAAATTGTTTAAATATATATAAAAAAGCAATGATGAATTTATTTGTATGGTTTGAATGTCCTTGTCAATTCTGCAATCTCAATGGAAATTTGGAGAAGAAAGATGTACTACAATCATTATAAACCAACTGAGTAATCTGTCCCCCTCTTGTGTTGAACAGTATAGAATACATACTGCTATTCATATATTGTGTTTGTTCATGGCAGCTCTATAATAGAACGAAGGTCAAATTTACACTGTCACTTTTCTCAGTAAAGTGCCATGTAGTTTACTAGCTTTTAACAAATATTTTTGGTGAAATAAAGTTTTATTGCACTGGTTTTGAATTGTTTATCTTGTTACGAAACATTTTCCAATATCTAACTTCACATGTTTTAAAACCTGTCATAAATTCAAAGAAGAAATACAAGCTTTTTTTTGTCTGAAATACTTGATACCATACACCCCGTGATAAAATGACTGTGATACTGAAAGCGGTATGGAATTAGTCTGAATTCAGAATACAGATATTGTAAGTTCCCTTTTAAAAGAAAGCCTATTATATATGTGGTTAATTGTAGAATTTATACTGAGTGGTTTTGAAGGATTAAGGATAGTTGATCATTTCCACATACCTAATCATATACATTTAGACCTGTTTTTTACCCATTGCTTCAGGATTTCATTCTGTGGTTTGGCACATGTATTTGATTCATAATCCTAAAAATATACTACATGTACTATACGGGCAGACAGAGCAAAACTTTGGCACTTTATGCCCAGTTCTAATCCATATGATCACCAAATTTTATTTGAAGCTAGGAATATTTGAAGAATAATCATGGAAATCTTCAAATTGGCAACGCATTGGCCAATCATTTTGTAGTCATACCCCTTTTTATTACCAGTATGTAAATCTGTTATGTAACTTTAAACTTTCAAAAGATGAAAAGCTGGTTATTTAGACAGTGAAGATCAACAAGTAGTATCTATATCCTTGATTTGTTACGGTAGGTGAAGTTATCCAGGAATATAATCATACAAAAGTCTGAAGTGATTGATGTAAAGTTTGTTTTTTTTTACATAAATTTGTACATTTACATGCATGTAAGAATGCTGTCTCATTGATAGCTGCTTGCTAGAGACTGAACATTATATAATATTGCACCACAAGAGGGAGACATTCAACTAGGTTGTAGAGTCAGGTTGAGGGGAGCTGTGAGTTGTTGTGTATACGTGCCTGTGTTGCCATGCCTGGCTAGCCCTGAAACCCAGGGGCCTTTATGGCTGACCTAGGCTTGTCTGTCGCATACTGTTGAATAATTTACTCATTGACCCTGAAATCCATAGATTGTCTTTATCATACATATATTATGACTCTCGTCAACATTTTGAATATCTAAGATTTTAGGAAGCAACAATTGTCTCTCTTTTTCTTATTTGGATACATGATCAAGGGTATATAGGTGTACTTCCTTTTTTGATATACATGTATGTGTTGTAGAGCTGCCAGTTCACTCACGCAGCTTAGCTGAGCTAGCTGGCTGTGTTTACAGGAGCACTCACCCATGTCGTCATTGGGTGAGTCTGACAGCCAATGCCTCGGCCTGCTCGCATGCCTGCCTGCCCTCCCACGCACTTTTGTGTCAGCAGCATTCATAGGCACACTGGGCTGGCCGGGTAGATATGTGCCACTCATTAGCCAATACTCTTGAACCAACTCCTTGCTTGAACACACACACACACACACACACATACACACCAGAGCTAGCCAGCCAGCACACATGCTTGCTCGCAGACTAGCTGTGTCAGGTACTGCAAGCTAGTATACCCTTGGTGATGTTTACATGACCTGCTAACAACACTTCCCGGATTTGCATGCAAGTTCACGCTGGAGCTGAGATAGTGTTTCGTGTCGGTTTGGTTCCTGCTGGTGGGAATTTTTTTATTTCTCTGGAATTGTCCAAGCGCACAACCCAGTTCTTTACCTACGCTACCATCTTGGCAACTGGTCATCCTGTAAATATTAGCCTCATCACTACCAGGCAGCCAGCCAGTCAGACAAACCTCTTCTTATCCACCATGATCACACCGGCCTAGCAGGCCTAGCCTAGCAGGAGACCCTGTCATCATGTAAACATTGGATTCTCAGCATGATGTAGCTCGTTATCTCACTTCATCTTCAACACCAATGATACACACATGTATGTGTAACATCTTTTGTGCCTTATATTTACAAAGACTGGACATATTGTGGAGACTATTGGAAATAGTGATTAGTTTGCTGGCATTATCTAGTGTCTTTCTTTTTGAGTGCTCAGGGACTCATACCTATGCATGGAAGTTTTATATGGAATACAGCCCCGAGGCCGAGGTAAACAAATAACAATAGCTAGCTAGCTAGCTGACCTTGTATTTGAGCTTTTACATTACATGTATGTACACTAACATTGCCTAGGAATTGCTCGATGACTGTATGCAGATTAATTAGCATAGATTATCACATAATCTCTGTACTTGTAACAGGGGATCATATAACAAGCATGGTTTCCTATCTTTTGGCAGAGCACCTTTCTTTGTTAGCTGCCAACTTCCATTTTGGAGATGACTCATTACAGTGCAATAGCCCACATTCCAATGTCTTTTGTTGTCTTTTCTTTACCGTGTACAGTCCATTTTGCCTCACACAGAGCAATTATTGGAACCAAGAAAGGAATGCAACCTGCCTTTCCTTTTCACTAATTCTTTGTTCTCTTTGACTTTATTCCACAAAACCAGCCTAAATCTTGCTTTTATTGTGTAAAGGAATGCTTTGGTTGTTTAAAGCTTTTGTGTAATTATTAAAAGCTCAGTCACATGCTTCTTTATGTACAGAGTACATGCCTTCTCATTATATGATCATGTAATTTTACAACAGTACATCCCCAATGCCCTTCCATGACAAAATGGCTTAACTGATTTTTTTTGTGCAAAATTGAGTAATTTAGTGTGGGTGACTCAGAACATCAAGTTACACATGTTTAACTAAAATTTAAGTTTTTAAAAATACTGTAATTATTTATTTTGATAAGTCAACACTGAATAAAAACATTAAAACACTTTTAATAGCAAATGAAAATGCATGTTTCTTCCTATATCTCAAAAACACTAAAATGTCAGTTATGTTGTTTTGTCGTGGAAGGGCAGTCTACCACTGTACCACATGTACATTTTTTTTTTACATTGTTGGCCTTTATACTACAGGTTCTTTATAAAATGTTCATCTATTGTATTTCTTGGACATTGCTTTTATGAAGAAATCCAACTCATGAATAGGCCCTTAAATTAAACAAGTTATTAAGTAGTGAATGCTATTTTGTAAATTCCGTAGTTAAATAAATATCTACAGTATATAATATTTTGGAGGTGTACAGTAGTTTAATGAGTTCAATCGATTAGTCACCCTATCAAACAATCAATAAAATCCAAGCTAAATTTGGTGTGCAGTTCAAAATGGACGGGATGGAAATGTTGGTACATGTTGATACCAAGAAAGAAAATAATTGTGAGAAAAGTTTAGGAAGCCTAGTAGTGTGTGTGTGTGTGGTAGGTCACATTGAAGACAAGTGATGGAATTTCTTGTGTTATCAAACATACAAAGAGAAACAAAGTAGGTCGGTACCTGGTGGAGCAGCCAATTGGGTAGTTAAGTTGGGTGCCTGGCTTGGCTGGCTGGCTGCTCATTCTCAAACCTAGATTCAACTGTTTGCATTCTTTCCATTGTGTTCACAAAGTGTGACCCCGGCCAATCCTGCTGTGTGGTAAAACCAGGGTAAAACCAGGGTGTAACGCCCTCCCTGCCACAATACAATCCACCCTGGAGAGTTGCTTTCCAAATCTCCAAGGAGATGTATTGTTACAGGGCTATATGTTTTTTTCCCCTCTAAAAAATGAATTGACAATATTTTGACAAACTTGCCATGATGTGATAAATAGAAAGATGATTTTATGATGATTTTATGATTGGATAGGGAGGGATATCATCATGAATATGCTTACTCTTTGTCCCATCCTTGTACATATCTCCCTTTTCCAAGAAACTGATGAGTCAGTCCAACAATGCTCAATCTATAGGCCACATGCTTGCTCGCCTTGCCATACATACATAATTCAGTGTCGGGGGAACGTCTCCCTCATACACGTTCATATGTAGAAGCAGTGCGCAAGCTTGCATGTGCATGTACACACACTAGCTAGCACATGGTACTTACCCTGGGATTTTTTATGTGAATATTGGAAGTCGGGGCTGTGTAATTGAAGTGGCTGTATGCATAGCTGACATACGTGTACAATGAACTTGGTTTCACCTTAGATTGACCCCTCCTTTCCCCCTCCTCTACATCAAACATAATGGGTAGACAAGTGGGGCAGGGGCAGGGGCAGGGGCAGGCATCAAATTGTGACCTCCTTGCATGGGTAGTACAGTCTTGGATGGGAGCAGTCAGATCATTGATCTCTTCCCCTAGCTAGCTAGCTGCTACGCATTCTTTTGTCACAAGAAATGGAAGGTTTCGTTTACTTTCACTTTCTATTCAAGTCAGGTTTACAGCATTCTTTCTTGGCTTTACTCTATTCATATGGCAGCATCTGTTAAATAATTGCTCCTAATTGGCCACGTTAGTTTACACCTGCTTATTTAAAAAAGTAATGAATTCCAAGTAATCCTCAAAAGATGAAAGATGTAATTAATTTCATTTTGTACCATGTAGAACCATAAATAATATAGTGCAAAATCAGTCTAAATAGTTGGGGATAGCAAGATAACACAGGAATACAATAGGCCCTGAATGTACATGTACATGTATATGCTACCAAATGAAATATCGGAATTATATACACAAACTCAAATACGTTTTTTTAATAAATTATAAATGATAGTAATGAAATGAACCAAACCTCAGTTAGCACTCCTGTTTATCAGTGTAGATAAGGTTTCAATGTTATTATATAGGTATCTTTAATATACAAGAAATATGCTGTAAAAGATATCCGCAATATGTATTTGAATTCTTTATATTCAAGAGAAAGAAAATTAACTTGTATTGGACATCTGTCCATCAATTTGTATAGCTCTAACATTTTGTGTCAGTGCCTCACAGTCATTATAGAACAGTATGCTGACATCCATTTGAACATAATAAATGTGTAAGAGATGACTCATTTGCTTACAAAATCTAGCCTAGACTGATATACATATGGCAGTACCCATATCCATTCAATATTTTTTTGGACTTCTTTGTACAATGTACATGCATGTAGACGTACAAGTGCTCTATAGCATAGGCATAGGGAGTATTGTGGAGGTCATCTCCAGGGCAATGCAGCTAGAGTGTGCTGGTTTCTCAACTTCAGCCTCATGTGCACTAGCTAGCATTCTGGAAAGTATTCTCAAAATTCTTCATCAAACAAAGATTGGCATGGTCATAATGATCAGCTGAAGAACTGGAACATGGAGAGTATTCAAAATAATACATTATTGGGAAATCTCTTCAGTGCATTGGTCAACCGTTGTACGTGTAGGTGTTTCCCTGAAAGGTCATGACTCATGACTAGGGTGAATATCATAAAGGGTGCATCGAATGTGTGCCTCTCATGTGTTGACTACTATGCTCAGTATTATTGGGTGTATGTATAACGTTCTGGCTACGAGGTGCTAACCTAATTAGCATTAACCATGGCATCTTACAAAAGCATAGAAAAGCATTGAAACATGTCCGACATGAAACCTTTCAAAAAATGACATTGTTTAGATTTACATGTTTAATGTCCTTATTCATGCCACACTTTCCAAATGAACAAAAGTGAATAACAAAATAATGCAAAAGCCTTCATTACATATTTGCTGGTATTTTGGTAACTAATTTCCTGACACCGCGCTAGGAATGTTATACAGTGTTTATGCCATTTTTGTCTCGCTTGCGTAGCAAAAAAGCGAGACATATGTGCCTCTTTTCCGAAACATCGAACATCGAAAACTTAACCTAAGGTTAAGTTTTTGATATAATTTTGAAAGTTAAAGTCCTTAGTCAATGAAACTTGGACTATAGGGTTATCAAGTATCTCCAATCATGTGAGTAGTATTTCAGGTCACTAAGATAAGGTCAAAGGTCATTTAAGGTCAACAAACTTAGACTAAGTTTGTTGTGGAATCAACATCAAGATTTCGAATTTTTTAGCATATTTTCAAAATCGATTGTTTTAATTCCATGAAACTTGTACCCAAGGGTTATCAAGTATCACAAATCATATGCCACAAATTCCAGGTCACAAGGTCAAAGGTCAGTAGACTTGGATTATGTTTTCACAACTTAAGATGAGAATTAATAATTTTTTTATTAATTTTTTTATATTTCATGAAAGTTATCAATCTTGATAGAAATGATAGTAAATAATTTTTTGGATGATTCTCTGTAAATATTCACTTCAAAATGCTGATTATGGACAGAGGATTTCAATTTTGGGGGCCTGCTAATGGGCCACCCTGCCAATAAATAATATCCAACCTCAATTTTCATCATATCGAATTGCGTGATGCAGGCGAGACCGCCGAGAGCGTTTCCCTTGTTAGAACCTTGATTTATGTAATGCAATGTCAGGGACAATTTTTTTTCCCCTTTCTTTTTTATGTCAATCTGTGAAAAAGTGAATGTTATATATATATGCATGGTAAGACTTAAAAAGGGACTTCATATGAGATATTGAACTAAATATTGCAAGAAATATACATAACTAGGCACCAGGCACCTGAATATTAACATGCCTATTTTATGATCTTATGTCAATGTCTCATGCTTAGACTTTCACTATTGTTTTCAACAAAGATTAATTATGTAACTTCCAAACCATATTATGAACCAATCAATTGGCAATTTATTTGAGATAAAAGATCAGCTGTTTATTGCCAAATACTAATATTTAATGGCAATCTACTCACAAAAAAGTGCCTATTTTGATTATCAAGATTATTTGATGATTTATCTTTAATCTACTGCTAAGAAAGTAGAACATGCTTGTGGGTTAGCAAGAAGAAGGGCCTATCTTATGGGAATGGGGATCAATGCTTTTCCGAATAAGTTTGTTCCAGGATATGAAATCACTTCAACTTTTGCTTGAACTTCCCACAATCTTTACTTTGGACGTTATCCATTATGTAATATCTGCTAGGATAAGGTTTTCTGATTTAATACAATATGGTGTAATTTCCTGTCTTCCTAATACATGTACATAATACAAGACCAACAGAAGGGTGTTTGTTACAGGTAGCCAGTCATCCACTGCGTTTGATGGCTAGTATTTTCTTCCATGTCATGTGCATTTGTTCTGTCCACAGGCAGCAAATTATCTGCTTGAAGTAGAAACCAAATGGAGCTGGCCTGGGAAAAGTTGCAATATCAAACAAAAGGCCAGACAAAGTCGTAGGCGTAGGCGTGGCAAATGGCAAGGTGCATGCTTGTTAGCAAAATGAGTGCAAGGGCTCCATATTTTTATGCAGAACTTCATGAATTAAAATGTACATGTACAATGTATGTGAGCAGTGTGCATGAAGATAAAGGTCGTTTGTAGATGCCTTTGTTTAGTTGCCTCATACTCTTCCCTGCATGTACCCATTAGGGACAATAGTCAACAGAGAAGAATTGCCTTTGCTAATGACAGATTTTTTCTCATGCCCTTTAATTAAATCTTCACATATCAAATGAGGGGGAGGAGGGTGTATGAGTTTGAAACCACAAATTTCAGTGGATTTCAATCAAATTTGATGACTGTTAATAGCATTACAAAATAAATGACACCCAAGAATCGATGTATTTTCCCCCAAATATTAGACCCCATCTCAGGATAAACGGCTACTGAGACAACTACAATTTCATCTTGACCTATTATGACATGGAATAATCCTACATGTATCTCCAGACATTGCAATGCCTCTTAGACTGACTCTACAGTGATGATGTACCTAAATCAATTTAATTATTGATCAAATAATTGCTTTTCAACTTGTGATCAATAATCAATATGAGAGATAATAATTGCACATATTTGCTGATATTATTAGGCTGACCTGGGATGTGTATATCACAAAATCTCGCTGCGTAATTTATATGATATATATATATATATATCATTTAATTGTTTTCACAAATTCTTAATAATTAACTCTTTTATATCATATTTTGGAGACAGCTTCCATAAAAACCTTTTTTTTCTTCTTCAATATATGAGGCAGGTTCAAGTTATATAATTGATCAAATTGGTAAAAGGACGTACTGTATAAAGGCTGATACTTGTAGCTCACCCTGTAGCTCAATTCTTAGTTATTGTGGGTCAAGGTCGTATTTTTTTGTTCTATAATGATCAGTTTTGTTTGTATATATTACAATCTAAAAGCTATTCCAGGATTGATTCCGCTCATTTATACATTGCATCCCAGAAAAAACGAAACCGAGAACTATTAATGTTTTATCATAACTTAATCACAATTATAATTAATAAATGACACACATTTGGAAAGCTTATATCCTCTTTTGATGCAACTCATATGATGCATATTTCACGCATGAGTGATTAAAAGCAATTTGAAGAGAGGAAACCAAAAAGTCATTTGGCGGGCGGTATCTAAATTTCAAGGAGAAAATCATATTTCTAGAAAGTTCAATTTCTGCTCTTTCATATGACACCTCAATCAGAAAGGGCAGAAATTGAACTTTCTAGAAATATGATTTTCTTTTTAAAATTCAGACACCGCCCGCCAAATGACTTTTTGGTTTCCTCTCCTCAAATTGCCTTTAATCACTCATGCGTGAGATATGAATCATATGAGTTGCATGTAATGAAAGAGGAGGATCTAAGCTTTCCAAATATGTGTCATTTATTAATTATAATTGTGATTAAGTTATGATAAAACATCGATAATTCTCGGTTTCGTTTTTTTTTGACGCACTGTATATAATTTCATTGTTTTTTATTACTGAATGACTGATCAGGAGGTAACCTTGGTTTACTGAGTGTCAAGGTTGAGAATGAACATACATGTACATGTATTTTTGAAGTTGAAATCTATATTCTGGGAAATCCAAGGTCCATGTGATAGAAGATCACGTACTGTTTGTATGCAAATTCTTCTTCTTGGTTTCTAGCCAAACTCAGCCTAAATATTTGACTTTGATACTGAACTTGCTCGGACATGAAATTGTCATTCTATTTAATCTATTTCTGTTGGGAAATGAATTTTATAACGAATTGTTGTTTGTCAAATTATGTTTATTCCCCAATGCATAAATCAAAACCAAGTCACCAAGCACGTGTTACAACATTAAATTATCTTTATAACTATCGAGTTTACTAAGCTTTGTAGTTTTTGTTGTTGAATTCAAGGTGTCTTGGTGGACTTACAAGAAAAATGAGATGTAAGTTGGAAACTGGATGTTCCTACTACAGAGATTGTTCATTAGATGCTACATGATTGACTGTAGGCCTGGGATAGAACAGTTTCCAGGATGTTATTCATTTGTCCTGGAGTCCTAGAGTCATTTAATTATTATGTACATGTATGCTCATGTTTAATGTAGCCTTCCTTCCTTTATTGCATTCCTGTGCAGGTCTGGATGTGGCAGGTCCACCCCAGCCAGGCAACAATAATGGGCCACTGGGTGATGCTCCGACCATAGCCTCAGGTCAGCCACGTTCCAGGAAGGGTAGACCTAAGGTGACTGGAGCACCAGGTCATCGCTACCAGCAGCCGTGTCCCACATGTGGCAAGGTCTTTGGTAGCTCCAGTGCCCTGGCCAAGCACAAACTCATCCACAGCAATGAACGCAGGCATAAGTGTATCCTATGTGCCAAGAGTTTCAAGCGACAGGATCACTTGTAAGTACACTCCACCCTTCATTATTTTGGTAATATTACATGAACCACAACAAATACAATTTACTACAGTTTGTTAGTTTGTTGCACTGACCCACTTTTTACAAATTATAGGTTATTTGGCACTTGAGAGGCAATTGCGGGCCCTTTGGGTAAAGTTCATTTTTATAATTAATCTGCTTAATGAAAAAGATATGCTAAGGGCTTACATGTACATGACTATAGAATACTTTTATTCTGTTCTAAGTAAAGTATCTTGTTATATATTGCATCCCCTACAATATCCAAATCCATAATTCATTCCTTTAAAACAGGAAGAATTTTTTTTTGTAGGGTTTCTTTCCTCCGGTATTGCATTGTTCATTGTTGGGCAAACAGACTGTATGCTGCACATAAGGCTAATGTTGTATGTGGATGATACAATTCTTTCTACCGTTACCAGTATACACTACATTTTATTGACTTAAAATAGACAACATATTTGTTGTTGATAACATCTGGTGCAAATGATGAAGAAACACAGGCCCTATATATAGTCTGTATTTGCAATGGCATAATGACTATTGGTCCTCTGGTCAAAAAGCAGGTCATAAGTGGGTCAATCAGGGAACCAAACACCACCCTACTGCTTACATGTACATGCTGGGATTGTATTCAGCTTGACCCAGGTCATTCAGGCTGGCTCTCTCGCTCGCTTGCTGGCAGGGAAGGCTCTTTTCTTTTGTGTCATAAGTCCTGCTGGGCTGCAATCCCAGACAAGGACAAATTCATGTGGTCAAGGAGTGGACTATGAAGCAGTGGCAGCAAGTGGTGAAATGAGTATCAAAATCATATTACCTAAACAACAGTGATCTACTTGCATGGGCTGGCCAGTCAGGGAGTGATCTACTTTTGATCTAAATAGTCATTAGAATAAAGAGAGAAACGAAATCGAAGTAAACTTGAGTCAACATGTTCATGAGTTTTATTGGGTCACCTTTTCAATGAATCATGGCTTTATATGATGTAAATATTCAATTTTTCATAGATATGTATCTTACATGTACATGTATACTATCTTGAGTTGCATGTGAAATTCATTTTGTTATTGTGAAGAATAAATATGCTTTTGATTTTTAGATTAGTAATTAAAATGTGTGCTGGCAGTGTATTCTGGCCTCCATACCCCCTGATGCTTGGCTGCATGTAGGCTTTAATACATGCTCTGCATAGACCTGGATCAGAGAATGCCTGGATCTCAGAAGATATTACATAACATCTTTTCAGCACAGTAACAATAGAGGTTAAGAACCCTGGATGAGGGAGAACGAAAAGCTGGTGAAGCATATCCATCCATTCTGCATTGAGAATGTGATGCAAAGAATCTTTGAGCTTGTTTCCCTGGGCTTTGATCAAGCATCTGGTAGCTGATTAGTAAGGAAGGAACCCTTCTTTTTGTATGCTTGAGAGGTTGACTGACCAGTTAAAGCTAGCCTAGCTTGTTCATTATTGATGTGGATTAGTTTAGGCTGCTTCCAGGCATAATCATTCGTGTGTACTATATGAGATGCAAGATTCCTTGAGCTTTACCTTGATTTTGTCAGACCTAGACTGCTGAGGCTTGGTAATGGCTATGCAACGCATCGTAAAATTTGTGATATGATGATGATATTGTAATATCATAATAACAGATGTTATCCAATTACAGAGAGTGGACTTTACTGATATGATTGACAGGCATTACATAATGTACTGCCTGCACACTCCACCTATTTCAAGATAAATAGCAGTGAACAAAAAGTTTGGTGTTTGCAAAGTATGACACAAATACAAATGGAAACAGAGAGGTGCATGTCTTTAACACTTCCAAGAAAGAGAGAAACAAAAAGGGTCTGTCTTAAAAGGAACAGAAAGAGATGAAGGGGTCAAAGATAATAAAATCTAGAAATCTAGTGTCCAAAATAAATGTCTGAGAAATGGATGGTTGGGCTGTTGCTCATTTCCAACTCATTCATTGACTTTATGCATCAGTCCCCCTATATTCACTTGAGAGATTTTTTTTTTTTTTTGTTCATAGGTCTCCATTTGAATACCCTTTTTTGTGTGTATTTTGTTATACTTTAAATTTTATTTGTAGATCATACTGGCTGGCCTGAATATGGCGTAGTGTATTACCATGAAATTACAGTGTGGTAAAAAGGTTGTATTTGCTTAGACACAAAATAAATTGAAAGAGATAAAAAACAATTAAGATTTCATCTAGACAATTTATCAGTTTAAGGAAATATTAAGGCTTACACATATTTTAAACTAAAATATAGCAGTAAAGATACATTGCATACATGTATATACTTAATAACCGTTATGGCTCTTCTTCTCTATGGGATCCCCAGAATAAGCATGTGAGGTCACCTAGCTTAAATCCGGTTCTAAAATAAAGGAAATAGGGTCTTTACGGATAAGGCAAGGAGATATGATTCCACAGGTCTAAGCTGCTGTGTGATTGACAAACGTCGGCAAAGTGATTGTAGGCCAACTTGTAGCACTTCCCACGACACTCGCCATATTGATTTTCTGAATTATTGAGCTGCCTTGCAATTGTTGAAGCTCTTTTCATTGGCTCTACGCAAAATGCCTTAGCAAGGGGTCAATGGAAGTTTGTCCGAAGACGACCAAGGTGTTTCCAGGGCCTGGAAGTCCAATGAACTGTCCTATATAAATAGTACTAGTACCAAGTACTTTTTGAAGTTCAACTTGAAGAAACAGGGAAACAGATGGCTGACTTGTCTAGAAACTTTTCTTGAACCTGAGAAGGGGTTTCCATGTCATTGCTATGGTGAGTTACTGAATTGGGATTGTATAGAACTGGTGTGAAATTTGGAACTCCCAGCTACAGACCAGAGAAATATAGTAGATTTATATTGTTAAAATGGGCATCATAAACAAAGAAGGTATGGAAGCTACTGTAGGGATTTGAATACATGTGTAGTTCGAGCATCTTCAAAAGAAATTAGTTTGAAATGAAAGTTTGAAGGCTTGCTCTAGAGCTGTATTGTATTTTGTTGTAAGTGCTTGTGTTTTGGCCACATACATAGCAATCGTATTGTATGCTTGGAGCAAGAAAGGCATTAATTCTAGTTTGAGTGATGTGAAGGAATACCCTTCTGGCCCTCATCTGATAAGATGTTCTTGTATTTTGCTTCCCAATGACCTTTCCTTAGAATTATCCCAAAATATTAACTGAATTTTAAATTGTTAGCATATTCATGTGTCTGTAGGTGTGCGTTTCTATTATCTTTTTAGTGTTATCTTAACTTTTCAAATCTCTTTCATTCTTTTCATTTCATTTCCTATTTATCATTCTTGTCTTCATTGTTTTATTTTGCTACATTTTGCATGTATTCCTTGTTTTCCATTCTCTGATGATTCATGTAAGTAAACCCAACCTAAATATCCCAGTATGATGTCACCTTTAGTGACTCATGCTGATTACAGATGAAGCCAATGGGAATTCATGTCCTATAGTATAGGACATACGTATCACTCATACATGGAGCTGGTCATCTACCAATCTTCTAACCTTTCATAAAACCATCATGAATAATGGGCATGGCTTTCCTGCCAATACTAATAGACGCTACTGTAGCTTGTCATTTTCAGAGACCTTCTTTATAACATGTAAGTACATGTGTGGGACTGTGTATCATAGTAGGTCTAGACAAATTGTTTCACTGCAGGTAACTTGCAGGACATGGAAGAATCCAACATCCTCTTCTTCTTTCTTTGTCGTTGTTCTTTCCTTCCTGTCATGTATTTGACCCAAGTCAAACTAAGATCTTATTCAGATTCTATCATTTAACAACTTTCCAGCTACTTCATCAAGAATGAAGTCATTTCCACAATATAACGATAGCAACATATGCATGTAGCAATATGCATGGAGCAATATAAAACATATTTCAGTCAGTGATTCAAACCATTAGATTGTCAGTTACATACATAGTACATTTCACAGTATTCCACTGAATAGTTTCTAGAAAATGGACTCTTTACAACCATAATGGACAAGAGTTGTTATACTGTGGTACTCAAAATGAAGAGCCTGTTGAGCTCTTTTGTTCGAGGCTAAATTTCTGGGGTTATTACCGGTACCAGTTTCATGATTGTTGGCTAGTGAATATTTTCCATGGAATTTCCCACATGTAGTTTCACATTCATAGTAAAGGATAATGATATAGTCTGTTGATAACCAGGATGGCATCTGTTATCAGACAATATATTCCACGATGTAGTAGGTATGTACTTGATGTGCAGGTGCACATTGTGATCAATAAGGATTATTACTATACAATTGGAATCTAGCTTTACATGTAGCCCTTACATTGCATCCTGCTTCTTTGATTACAACTGCCCAAGACCTCTTAATGGTAATTATGTATCTGGATAATATGTTAATCATTTCCTGTAAATCAGAGACATCGGGAGGTACAGTGTATACATGTACATGTACATGTAGATATGTACATGTACGTACCTGTAGCTTTTAGTTATAATATCCAACATCTTTCTCCTGCATGCAGGTACCCTCACATCTTCTGTTACATTTTGTCTTTTTTATTCAGGATTGTACCTGATTATGTTCTGATTTTCACTGAGCTATTTTTATTCAGTGGTCCTCTTGATACAGCACTATTATGCAATCCCAATGGCAGCTTCTTGCTTACATACCAGACTGAATTCACCATGCATAGTTCAGTAGAGGTAAACAACCTAGTTGGTATACCAGTCATACACTCAGCTTTGTGACATTCATGCTGTGCATTTAAAAGACGTATCTCTTTGGGCTGGAGCCAAGTACAATGGGTCTTTTCGTATCATGTCTGGTTTGGAGAGCTCACTAAACTTGCCTTAACTTCCCAACTGAAACTAACTGTTTTGTATAGCGCCTTGAGTAAGATATATTAGATAGGTGCACTTTATAAGTATCTATTATTATAATTATATTACATAATAAGATGTTTGAAATGTGTAATTGAGGCTTTCTTAGTCTAAAGACCTCAAAACCATTCCCTTCCTTTATGAATGTATAATGCTCCATATTGTTCTTGTGCTACATGTACATGTAGGTTATGATATGAAAGGTGTGTGTGCACACTGAGAATCTTGGCAAGAATTCTTTCTTATTTTATATCTTTGATCTTTGTTCGGAAGGGAAAGAAATCATAATAAGAACTACCTTTTTTCCTATTTTAATTTCAAGCCTTGAACATTTTGGCAAGGAAGTGTTCCAATTATGTACCCAAAGTACATGTAATTTTTTTTTCCACAAAGAGACCTGCACTAAATGCAAGTAGTATGAACGTATAGATCAGGAGGTACATTTACACACACACACATATGTGATTTTTCAAAAAAAGAAATAATGAAAAGTATAATGCAATAATATTTCCCAGAAATTTAAGTGCAAAATACATGTATATTAAATGACAGATTTTCCACAAAAAAATTTGATTAACAATATGACACAACTTTTTATTTTTTTTTACAAAAAACAGTAAATATTGCTTGTAATCATGATGCAAAAGTGTCATTCACTCTTTGAAATCAATTTTCAGTAGTTTGTGTTTTAAAAATAAAATAATATTATCCTTCAAATGTCAGATTATTAAAAACAAGCTATTGTGGCATTGTAATTGTTTGAGTACTACATGTATGTGTTATTTTTTAAAGATTAAAATACCTCTTTCATATGCTATCACATGAAAGATATATAAGTGGAATGAGTACAATCTTAAGGATACACATTTATCATATTACCTGTACAGCCTTCCCTAGATGAAGGTGTGGCAATCTAAACTCATTCTGGTATGACTTTGCAACTATTGAGTCATTGACTAGATGTGTGTTAGGTACCCTGTCGATTGTCTTTAGAATATCTACAAGAACTCTTCCCTTTAATTACAAGAGAATGCTGGAATGATGTACCGTAAATCTCCGTGTATAAGGTGCACTTTTTTGCCGCCGAAAAAATTTGAAAGTCGGGGGTGCGTCTTATACACAGGTACAGATTTTTTTTTTTTTTTTTTTTTTTTTTTTTTTTTTTAGTTTCGATTTATGGCGCTATGCCTGGCAATGTATCCTATGTTTTCTATAACAAATGGTGTACCACAAGGTTCTATCCTAGGTACTCCATTATTAGAAAGATAGAGGATGCTATTCATATCATGCATGACTTTTGATGTTTGGCATAGAACACAGTGCTTCTGCTAGGTGATGTGATGAGGCTGGTGTGGGACACTTGATATCATGAAGCCTTAGACTGTTGTTACTATTATTTGTGACAAGTTCACAACTTCAACTGCACCTCGATGTAAAATGAAGGTCCTTCCCCGCGTGGGTTTTCGGCAACAAAACAATTTTTTTTTTCCCCCCCGAAATAGGGGTGCGCCTTATACACAGAGATTTACGGTATATGAAAGGTCCTTTTACTTTGAAGGAAACCTAAATAAATGCATGTATACATGTACATACACATACATGTATATGACCATTTAGTGGAAGAGGCGTCCATTTGGATTTATCAACATCGTTTATAATATTGCGATTATTCACTTGTAAAGGTGTATGAAAGGAGTTTAATATGTATTTCTGATTTCAGTATACCTCCGTTCATATTATATGGAAGCAGATTCATTTGAACTACTAGAATGAAACTCAGCTTGAGGATAGAGTAATACATCAATGACATCAGACTATCAAGAAACAATACTTCTTCACCCACCAATCCCAACATCCCAGATTATGAGAAACAATTGTAACACGGGAACAATTCATTTTAGCACCAAGTGAGTACAGGAAGTTGTCTGAGGTTCATTGTCTGAGTATTTGCTGCAGTCAGACAATATTGTCATGCCAGGCCAGGGGGTTGTTTTGTTTTGTTTTACCTACGTACCAGGCTGCAGAGGATGTTCAATTGTACTGATATGATTTTGTTTGATCTGCAACTAATCTTGTTCTTTGTAAAGGAAACCAAATAGGCTTAGACATAAACAAAAACAATGACACAACATATTAACAACAACAAATATTACATGTAAACTATGATAATAATACGCTGATTGTGAACAATGAAGAAGAAAAAACATCTGTTGAAAAGTTGGAGAAATTCACAATGGTGTTGTTTTTTTATTAATGTTTCTTTTCTATTTTCTGACTTCTTGATTGATGCTAAATCATTTAAAATGGACATCTAAGAAAACATTATTTATTTTCTACAAATTATTGATATTCATGCATTTTATTAAAAACAATATTGTAGGTACTGTACAAATGCAACTGATGTATAAATCATAGTAATGGCTATTTGTTAGCTTTATATTTGGTGTACATAGATGAATATTGCAAGGACCGCAAGGACTGAACTTTTGACTCCCGAAAGGTGGCTGGAGCCCCTAGCTCTCTCACTCCTGTGCTTTGAGTTTGACTGCCTTTCATGAGCTGAGCTGCGTTTATTTGATTTAGAAATGGAGTCTGTGAACTGTGGGAAAGAAGAGTGGCTATGAGAAGTCTGATCTTGACCTCTCCTACACAGTATGCATTCTTTAGTCTGGCTAGCTAGCTGGAGAGAGAGCAGGAGAGAGAGAGAGAACTAAATATTGCATGATGAATCAATCCAGCAGGGTAGTAGATGTAGCTGAGCTGGACTGGAGCAGAGCTGGTGCAGAGCTGGTGCCTGGGATTTGACCTGGATATGGCACCCAGGCAGGCAGGCAGGCAGGCAGCAAGCAACCATGCATCCAGTTTGAAGGGTAGCTCAGTCAGATACATACAACAATAATATCATCATAAGCAAGATTCCTCAACCAACCAAGAAAGGGTTTTACTCACTCTGACTTTTCTCTCTTCTATGCAATCCATGTACTATGAATAATACATACCGGTAATAACACTCCATCAATTCTATGTTGACAGGAGCACTAGGAGACATATGATTTGATCAAGGGATAAAGAGTAATTTCATCAGGGCATATGTATTCATTCTGGGAGAGTGATTGCTTCAATAGCTTTTAATTAAGATATTCTGGGGGCGTACTCATGCTAGTATTAAGTTAAAAAGTGGAAACTGCAGGACTTATCACCACTTCATGTTTGAAAATTTATAAGCCGGATTGTTAATGTTTGAATGTGAGTTATGAAATAGATGTCAACTAGAATACATCACATTCATACACTGTCTATCCTTTCCTCCCTGAACATAGAAAACAGGTGTGTCAGAATTAACTATTCTGATCTTGTTTTGGGCTATTTGCAATTTTTAGAGAAATGATGGAAATTAAGAGTTATAATAATGACAATGCAATTGTGGGAGAACGAGTGGAGCCCTTTGTGAAACCTTAGCAGCCAAATGGATGCTGCTGAGTTCCTGTCCCAGATTGGAATAGTTCACACAACCCTGGGATTTCTCACTAGCTACAATGTATCCCTAGGAATCTCACAGTAGGATCCTGTCTACAACTAAGATATTGGAGGCTGTAAAATTGATTTATGAAGAATACAACTTCATTTCAATAATTTGTGGATATTGATTGCAGGAGTACACGATTTCAACAATGTAATTTTCATATTTTATACATCCCATACTAAGTTAGATTGATCTGGTTATACATGAATTCTATTTGGGTGCCTGCCTACAACTATTAGTAATGAAGGCTGTAATGTGTGTTTTGATTTTTCCTCCAAGAGTTAAAATTAGGATTTAAAATGCTCATTATTCAATATTGAAAATCTTATAATTAACAAAGAAGTTAAATATACATGTCTCAATTCTAGTCTCTAGTTTATAATTTAAAATTTACATTACCAAACCAAACCAAACCATTATTAACAACAAGTTTGAATGAAATGTCTATGGTACTAATTTCATCATTTCAGGTCTGTTTGATATTCATTTACATATTTACACATATACATCTAAGGAAGAATAATTTTTCTTGATCCTGTCATTAATTCACTGGATTCGTAGTGTTGCCTGGTGGTGTTGTTAGGTCCCCATACAAAGTGTTACACCATCCTGTCTGTCTGCCTGTCTGTCTACCTGCCTGCCTGCCTACCAACCTGGGAGAGTGGACCCTGGGATATAACCCAGGAATGCCCCCTACCCTACCCTACCAACTCTATTGTTTGTAAACAATAACCTGGTAGTGCCTACTGGACTGAAAAGATGGGCCTTATTTGCATGGAATGTGAAGAAGCAAAGTGGTGTTGAAGACAAAAATAGACCCAACGACCTTTGGCTTGTACCTACTGATGGCAGGTTTTATAATTGGTGGATGGTAGCTATTGTCTCAACAGAAGCTGGTTCATGTATAACCAGTCATAGCTGTGTTTTTAATCCTGGATTACTAAGCAATGAGTCTGTTTTGGTAGTGTGTCAGTCAGGGTGTGTGTGTGTGTGTGTGTGTGTGTGTGTCACTTTGACTGTTATCATTCAGCATTCTGCTATTGAATCTGACCATGACCTTCTTTCATATCACACCTTGCAAATTAACAGTTCGATGTTGAAATGTACATGTAGGCAGTAAGGGTGATGCAGATGTACTGTAGTTTAATAATAACAGTTATTTGTATTGGAAGATTGAACATTTAAACAACTGTTTTAAAATACATCAAATTAATATATAAATATCAAATACACTAACAAATATTGCATTACTGATTTTAGGTTTGCTATTACCACTATTTTCTTTTCTTTTCTTTTTCAAATTCTGTGTAAATGACCCATCATTGTTGCATCAATAGATGAATGTGCAACAGGATACCAATACCAAGTGATATAATTAACTTTTATTAAAGAATATGAAAGTTCAATAATTGATTTGCTATCTACATTTCCTTGATGTCCCATGTTGGCAACTATAAAATGATTTATATTGTCAATCTATTTTGCAACATCTAAAAAGAACATCTGTTTCTCAATATGCTCTTTTACAGAACTGGTCATATGTTGACGCATCGCAGCAAGAAGCCTTACGAGTGTGCAGTGGATAACTGTGGCAAGTCATACTGTGACATTCGCTCTCTGCGAAGGCATTTTGAGTCCCAGCATCCAGGCCTTGTAATGGAAGACAACATGAACTACACTGGTGATGAGAAGGATCCAGAACTAATGGCAGCAGAAGCAGCTGCAGTACAGGCCAACAGACATAGCCAAGTCATGATGAGAGGATCTCCAGGGGCTGACTTCTCGCTAGGATTGGGGAATCCCCAAGATCTCAATCAGTCAGGCTCCAGCCAGGATGCCAATGACAGTCCTGGTTCCAGCTCTAGTGCAGCGCTACAGTCCCTTGCCCTTGCTGCACAGAGGGTACAGAACACACCGGATCCTTCCCCGAGTCAGGGTCAACTCTCCTCCCAAGACATGTCTACCATTTACCGTCTGGACTCGTACACCACACAGATGTTTGGTGGTAACCTTCCTGGTATGGCTCCATCTGTCCTGACTGGAGGAGTCCCTGGAGGAATGTCCACCTCCATCCCTGTAGGTGGACCAAGAGAACTGTCCATTCAAGTGCCCAACCCTAAATTCCAGGGTTTGAGTCTCTCATCAGGAGGGGTTGGAATGAGTGGAAATGGTATGAGTGGGAATGGTATGCTCTCCCATCAGTCTCCTGGTTCAAACAGGTACTCCAGCCAGCCCGGTCCGGATCTCGGTATAAGTCCTAAGAGCTCTTCAAAAAACAGCCATAGAACGTAAGTAAACTTCTCCCACATACAATGTGGGAAATTATGTAGAATATATTGATCAATTTTCATGGCCTTTTTTTAGCTTCCAAAAAAAAAGATGATAGTTGTACTTAGCTTATTTATGGCTTTGATGGTAAGGGCGACTGTCATAATGCAGGGATGTCAGAATATATAAGAATATCGACTCTGCAACCTTGAAGGTTTTTGGATGAAAAAGACAGAGACTCGATATAATGACTGCTATACTGTACAACTATACAAGTTTTGTCATTTTAAACATTATCTATATACTGCCTATGCATCTATCAGTAGTTCCATATTCAGTATTAGTTTAGAGCCAGTCAAAAAGTTCTAAGCAATACCTCACTTTCATGGGTAATATTTTCTTGATTTTCTACTCTGAGCAATGAATAATTTTTTATTTCTTGAATTTCTGCTATTAATTTGTTAATGATGATATACAGTATATTATTTATTGCATATTTCAAAATCCTACATAAGTTTACAGTTGCACCTATTATAAACTTCATCAAAGATGAAAATGACAGCTGTGATGTAATTACTTTAGTTGCCCTTCATGTAAGCCACAAAGAATCTGAACAATGTGGCGTGTTCAACTACAGTGTAGCTGATCCTCTCGTGCCTTACAAAGGCAAATTATTTCAAATACTCTACCAGCTCATCATTGCTCTTCCATTGTAAATGCAAGTGTAAATGGTTCTGCAACGGCAGTAAAATTAATGATGACCTGAAAGGTATTATCTGTATTCTATTTGTGTAATACTCTTGTAACCATTATATCTGTGTCTTATCCTTTTTTTCTAACAGACATGAGAAAGAAAGAATAACGGTGGAATGCACAGTATGCAAAAGAACTTTTAAAAGTATGCCAGCCTTAAATGGACATATGAGACTTCATGGAGGTTATAACAATGCACGAGCAGAGGGATCACAGAAGGTTTCACCTTCCAAATCAGAAGAGAAGCCCCCACTGCCAACCGCACCGAGTCTTGGTCAGGCCAGGTCACTGGCTCATCCGTCTAATATGAATCCTACATTGAACACACATGCACAGCTTTCCCAAGTACAGAGTTCACAGGCAATGGGACAACATAGACCTTTAAGAATGGTTGGACAATCTGTTACCCCTCCTCCTCCTACAATGCACCTGTCATCCGTGTACACAAATACGACTACCTCACATGTGCCTTCATGGCCTGACTACAGGCATCAAAGACCGCACACCGTCATGAGCGGTGGTAAACCTGCATACCTGCCCAACCTTCCTAATCTCCCGTTGAACATGTTACAGGATGAACTGACAACGTTAGCCCACACTGCTGTAGGGTTGGCAGCACAGTCACAAGCCTTGCAGAAGCCTCAATTACAGATGTCTCAGCCTCATCTCCAACCACCTCAGCACCATCCGTTACATCACACCACTCCCCTTCCAATGGATCGCATCCAACCGGTACACCCATTTAATTCCAGACTGCCCATTGGAAGCAAACCTTTACAAATGCATAACAATCAGGTCACACAAATCATCCCTAAAGAGGAACCCATGCCATACCCACCACCCACCTCTATGGGGTCCCCCAGCCCTCCGCATCTGGAATATATGTACAAGATTGCTCAAGAACAACAATTCAAAGAGATGCCGCCAACAGGGCATTCTACCCCACCACAGCTTGAGTCTAAAGACGTGGACCGGTTGAAAGACAATGTTTTCAGAGACCCACCTCCGGTGCAACCTACTGTAACAAAGAAGAAGCCACGGCCCCCATCACTGTTCATCCCATCTTGGGCAAGCAACGTCACCCCTGGAGGAATCGCTCCTTGCTCCTACCCTAGTCAGATGAGGTCTCCCAGGGAGATGGGTGTCTTCTACCGAAGCAACAGTAGCACCACTCCACCACCCTACACACCCCCTCCTATGCTGAGTCCTATACGGAGTGGCTCTGGATTGTACTTCAGCGTTGGAAGCAGCAGTATGCCTGCCTCTGCCTCAGCAGCAGCAGCAGTCACTCCCAAGTCTGCATTCCCACCCAGTACTCCAAGCATGCTTCAGATGCACAGAAGGGGTAAGCAACAATAAACACATCAATAGGGGTGGGGTCGAGGGGGGGGTGAATGAATGTATAAACCTACACAGAACAGATTAATTGGTGAAGTAAATTAATTTGTTAGCATTGCAGATACCGGTAGAACCGCTAAAAATGTTTTCATAGTTGTCAGGTGCTCTTTCAATGTGAAAATACTTCATACCCTAACATGATTTTCTACTTTATTTCTCAATTATGTAATCTTATTTAAAGTTTTGTAGTCATCATACTTTGTGTACGTCGTTTGTCTTTATTATTTTTGTTATTTTTTTATAGTTTATCACATTCATTTAAGAAAGAAAAAATCCTGATAAATGCATAATTCACATGACAAAGATATGATAACAGCTGAACAGACAGTTCATGAAAGGGAGCAAAATCATTTTAATAAATCCCTTAACATTGCTGTCATCAAGACAAAAGGTGATCAAATACTGTACAAACTACAAATTTGCCAGTTACCCATTGTGGTTAAAAGTTTATTGCCCTTTCATGACCTCCACCCACATATGTAATGTGACCTTTTTTCTGTATCCTTTCTTTCTCTTCACCCGGCCCGTTCCCACCACCACAGGAAGCATCAGCGCAAGCACTGAGGAATCTGATTTTGCCTTCCCTTCTGAACCGTAAGTGAAACACATCCTAATCTATGACTTCCATTGTTAACTAGCCTTCCAAGCCTCGTCTCTGAGCTGCTAAATATGGGTTATGTCCATTGACCTGGGATAGAATCAATGCCTGATTATGTTCAGCTTTTCCATTTGATATTCAGTAGCAAGTAAATCAAGAAATGTTGCTTAGAATAACACATTGAGACCAAAAGCATGGAGAGCTACATGTTGTTATATAGATGAGCATCCCTCTTCATGAGCAATTCAAAATTATATGTTTAATGTGTTATCCAAAGAGTTGAAATTAACGACGGGAGGAAATGGGGATAATTTAAAAATGCTCTTGGTAATACATGAATGTATGAAATGTGGCAATTGCTATCCATTATACGTAAGTTAGGCAATTTGCTATTTGATATATTTCAAATGTTTGTCATAATTCTTACTACTGTAATCAGTATCTTTGTATTGATGTAGCTTTATAACCCCTTGCCACCCAACGGTGTAGAAGTCTGAATTATTTATGCTTTTACAGCATGAGGCAAACAAAAAAAGTAAATATTTTTTTCTGTTTTGGAGGCAAGTGTGAAACGTATGAAGTCAAGGGAAGACATGTTGTGCCTTATCCAGGGTAGCAGTCATGATAGGAAATCAAGGCGAGAGAGAGAGAGAGAGAAAGAGAGAGAGAGAGAGAACAAGAAGAATGAGGGAGGGAAAGGGAGTGAAATGTGAGAACGGATCTCAGATTTGAAGGACCTGTGCAGACACTTCTTATTCTTGTATTGTTATCTTAGAGTAAAGCTTCCTCATTGCAGCTTCCTTGATAATTCCGCCCACACGCCTCCTCACAAGATGCTTTTCAAATTAACCTCCCACGCACCCATACATCAAACACAAGGCAACCTAGTATCCTAGACAATATTGAATATTCTTTTTACAGTCTTTCACTTTCTGTTGAGGATAGGCTTGAATATAGATACATGTTTCATGATTGAAATGTCATTGCTAATGTTATTTTGTAGCATGATGGTAGGTTTTAGAAGAGTTGTTATCATGCAACATCAATGCAGATAGGCTTTGTTTCATATTTTTTTCCATATCATAAATGCTGTTGAGATAAATAATAATAATAATATTTAATTTTTATATAGCGCTTAATACAAATGTCTTTTAGTGCTTTACAAATATACAGATAAAGTAGTTCCTTTTCCAGACTATTAAATAATACTGATGGTAGTACAAATATAACTATATTATAGTGATTTTTGACATTATGAAATTATGACATTTTGATCTTGATAGGTAAATTGAAGATCGAAATTCAACATATCTTATAGGAATAACCTGACATATCTTATTAGCTTGGGATCATGCCCTTCATGAATCTCTTGGTTCATTTATAGATATATATTAATGAAGTTTGATGGCACTCTGTAAAAAGCAGAAGCCAGATCAATGGTTCACAGGGATATAATGTGATTGCCTTGTAATAAACCCTTTGTAGGGAAGTGAATGAGGAAGGAATTACGTCATTGGGAGTCTACTTCCTCCCTATTGTATTATTCAGGGAAAAGTCAGGGTCACACTAAAAATCAATCCTTTCCTGCTTCAGACCTTTCCGTGACCAGTAGGTAATACATAGCTTCCTGGTTTGCCAACGAGGTAAACACTTGTGTTTGGCTTAATGGTGGGTCAGAACGTCATTGCATGGATGAGAGTGAGCCAAGAAATATCCACATTGCGTAATAGATCAGACAGTTCCTTTCCTTGTGTTGTGCAAGAGTGACACTGCAAGGGATTGTACCCACAAACCTCAGGAAATATGTTTGACTTGTTAAAAACAAGGAAAGGCCTCATGAGATTTTTGTATCAAAAGATTATGATGTTCCAGAGAAATTTCTATGAAATTAATTTGACACCAAAAAGACCTTGATTGCACCATTACTGTTATAAAGATGCAAGCTAGATGCATGTAGCATTTGGGAATACATTTTTTGAGGGTAATGCAGTTTGTGTATGTTTGGGGGGGGGGGGGGAGCTGTGGGGTTGCACACGCAGCATATATTCAATTACTAAGGTATTGCTTTTATATGTTTATCTTTATTTGTTATCATTTAAAAAATTATGTCGATGTTTATATTGTTCTTGTTACCTTGACAAGCACAGCAAATTCCCTAAAGATTTCACATATTAATTCTAACCAATAAAAAGATAGATCATGGCCAGAGTTTGGGTGTAAAGAATCTTTATCAGAAACATTGCATACCGTACATGTACATACATGCTGCATTCATGTAGAAACATGTTAATCAATCAGAGGTTGTAGAAATTATTAAGAGCATTTCTCACAAAGATAAGTGTTACTGTAGTTACTCCAACCCTACAGTAATGAGGCTTTAAAAAAAGAAAGAATAATCATTTCATAATAAACTACTACAATGCAGTGGATTTCCCTATACTTTTTCTAGAATTTTAATCTTTGTGCCATTTCCTGAAAGTTAGGAAGTGATCTACTTTTCCTTACCTAGAACAAAGGTAAATGGTTGACTTAAATTCTTTGAAATACATGAATGTGTATGGGTCTGTGTGTGTATATTGAGAGAGAGAGTGAGAGAGAGAGAGAGAGAGAGAGGGAGGGGTGGGGGTCATTTTACTTTCTGATACAAATATTGTTGATTTCCACATAGGTTTGTGATTAACATACTCTGTACCTCAAATTGGTGACATACATGTACATAGTCATATATTTTTTTTTTTTAAAGAGAAGGTCGATTGGCATAGTGCAGTCCTGGAGATCACAGAGTAGCTATAGTTACAGTATCAAATGTGACCCGAAAAATAAGCAGTCATTGTTTGTTTTATATTCCCCCATTGGCACAAGTAAAATGAATAAAAACTTCTTTAAGTTCATTCAGGAAAGGGATAGGAGTAGCATAGGCTCACATACTGTACATAACATGTATATTATGACTAAGTTTTATTTTTGATTATGGTAACTCTTTTACAATCCACATATGATGCATCTTACAGCTGCCCAGATATTTCTAAGTCCAAATCTTAAAAAGACAGACTTGTGGTTCCTTAACAATAAGTCCTTGGAAATGTCACTTCAAAGTTTAGAGAGGCCTTTTTATCTGCAAAATGGAGATTAAAAATAGATTTTCTTATATCTGACCTTACTGCCAACTAAAATAAGGTTCCTGCATCATAATGCAACTGGACTTTCAAAGTTATGATCACAAGGCTGAATTGGCTATCAAGGGATTCACTATTTATGGCCCCTGTGTCATATATAAAATAGTATGTGTGTATGTAATGCATATAAGTTTTTATGATATGAATTGGATATGAATACATTACAATAAATACTTTGTTAAATTTGCAGATGGAAATTATTCTTTTCAAGTTGAATTTGCCCAAAATGAATGATTTTCATGAATTATGACTGTAGAAACCTTGTGGATTATGAAATTTTCATCTCTCCTCTTCATTTTCTAGACACATCAATGTTGGCGGCGATTATCAAGCAGCAGTTCCTGAGCTTGGTAAGTTTGTATAACATATATTCATTATAATTGAGTATCACAAACAATTTTGTAGTATCACTGTCTTTCATGTAGATCTGACAGTTCTACATTGTACTCTTAAAGCCAGGTGTCATGATATGTTTTCAATTTGTTTGTTGATCAGTGAAGAAGAAAATCCAACATTAGGTCCTAAAGAGAGAGGCACACCCACAGTTGTTACGTGAGAGTATGTTCTAATGGGACCCATGAGAGCTTGTAGTCTTTAATAAAGCTTCTTCTCTAACATTTAGTGGTTTGGGCTTGATTGGGGGGTTTGTAGAGCTAAAGATATAGGAGTTTTGTTTGTAAATGTTGCTTCACTTTTTCAGCTGTGAGAAATATGGTATGCTTAAATGTGATGAAAGAAAACACAAATGGTACTAAAATACACTGCCATAAAACCAGGATTGTGACGAAAGAAAACATGGGTCATCACACCTTGAACCCAGTTTATATCAATTGTTATCTTCATACGGAACAAAGATTGATATGCAACATTTCTCTGTGTTTGTTTAAACGTATCTTGCAAACATGTATGTTAATGTAGCATTCTACATTTTCTAATCAGAGCAAGTATAATGGGAAAGGGGACCTGGTAAAACATGCCTGGTAACAAATGTCAATCCAAACATAATACATTAGTTGGACCCTGGTAAGGCAGGGTTTCTTGCAATTGAATGATTACCATTGCATAAGAATACTATTTAAAAAATTGTTCTTCAAATGATTTTGATGTGATTATTTGTTATTTTTTTAATTGCAGTAAAGAACAAAGAAGAGGTATTGGAAGCAGCAGATTGGAGAGAAGGAAAGCTAGTTTGGGATCCTGCAATAGAAAAGGGGTACTCTGAAGGAGAATGTAAGTATAACATTCGATGAGGCCTTACGACAAGTCATGTTAAGCCATGTATGAACGGAACACGCCCACTCATACTGTATTGCCCTGGATAGGGAACTGCCTAGGTCGTATTTCTACTGTAATTATTCAAACTGTTTTCTGTCAGCCAAGATAGTCCAGTTTCATACATAATGTTTATATGAATATTATCTATCTGCCACAACATTTTCTTTATTCTGCAGCAAAAACAATAATTAAATAAAAACTGAAATAAAAAAAGGGGATCAGTATTTCAAAGAGATCAACTGAATTATACACAAGGCTGAGTTTGAAGGCTGGAAAATACTATACCCCCCCCCTCCCTCTGTGACTGGTGTGGCTTGATTACTCCAACAATTGATGCAATGACAAGATAATGCTTTGTACTGACTGCTGGATTGTGAAAGGGAAATACCCAAGGTCGATGATGATAAGGAAGCGTGACATGGCCTGGCAATGAACTTGCAGTGTAAACTCACTCGGCCCACCTAGTCATGCAAGTAGGCTTGTGTGGCATACAGTATGCTTACTTTAGTTCAGACTTACCCTGTTTTAGGGGGTGTCTCTCTAGAGTAACCCTTCCATGAAGGAGTGTGTATTATTTCTTTTCTTTCCATTGCCGGTGGAGGGATTTATTTATTTTATTTTTGACCTGGGATGGCATAGTTTTAGAAGTATCGTGTGTGAAGGAAAACAAGAAATGTTCTGTTTAGAGCCAGAAGGGTGTTAAGGGTGTTAACTCATTTCACTTTACACAGCATTAATGACCTTCTGGCTCCAAACAGATGATATAGTGAATATGATACAAAAGTTCAAAACACTTTTCCTTTGTTCTTGAATAAATGATGACTAAACTGAGAAAGAACTTACTTCCTAGATAATATGTAGTTATCCAGACAAAAAACAAAGCAAAATTGAGACATTTTATCTGTTTGAACTAGGGGAGTTACAGAATCTATGGAATTGTGCGTTTTTTCAGTAAGTTTCATTAGAAGCATTATTAGTCCAGTGTTTGCTCACAAATACAGACTGATCAAGCATAACAACGAAAAACATGTTTCCTGTCACTGACTGATATCATATCATCCATGCAGTCTGAACAGGAACTTAGGACAAGAAGGGTTGCTCATGCTTGAAAGAGACAGTGAAGGTTTCAGACTAGACCAAATACATGTAATTTCCTTCTTTTCAATATACATGCATGCCTGTGTCTTTGTTTATAGTGACAAGTTTCCTGAAGTTAGCCACTACACCAGGCCTACCTGCAGGGGCCAGGAACATTGAGTATGCCCATCACTGCCTCTATAGAGCCAAGGGAGACATCGAGGTAAGAACCCTGTCCTCCGTGAGCTGAGCTCTTTGTGTTGTCAGTTGGCAGGACGCCAGGTCAGGTGCCTAGTCATGTGACCTTTTACCTACACCTCCTTGGTTCTTAGATTGTGATGCAATGATCCAAGAGGGTCTTTGTGACAACAGTTTGTTCAGTACCTGTGGGTGTAATGAACCCGGGACAATTAGGAGACTTCTGAACAAGGAGAGGAAATGGTTTGGCAGCAAAATAGCAATGTGTGCCAACTTAAACATTTCTTTTAAAGTATAATAATTAGACGATTATACAAGTACTACCTTGTCTTTCAAATTGTCTTTGCTAAGAGGAAAGGACATAAGACATAGTAAAAATGTGGTCACCAATATCTTCTACAATACTGAATTTTTATGTTTTTAGTTGATGAATCCCAAATGGTTTCAAATACATTCATGCACATTTCAACTTCGCTAAAGACTTGTAAAAAAAATTCTTAGTACCTTTAATATTTGAATATTCAAGAGACACTTTTCATTCATGTAAGTGAAGTGTTGTGCATGAAGATTATCAACCTTTTAAAAATTTCTTTTGCCATTCTAATTCCATCTTTATCTCTTTTCAGATGGCATTACTGATGCTATTGAATGGGAATGCTATGGTCCCAGATGAGTTTGTGCACATGGCTGACTACAAATATGACTGTGAGTAAAATCATGATGGCACAGTATGGCTGTGCTTGATATTAACAGGTCCCCCCCCCCCCCCCTCCCCAAGGGAAAGAAAGAATACACTTCAAACCATGTAAAAGGGAGGGAAGTTGTTCCTACCCAGGAAATGTAGTTTTGTGGAGCATTGTTTGTGTGATCATTATCTCTTTTTCCCATGTTTTTTTTTCCTCCTTCTTATATGTCATGCTTTACATAATTTATAATATTGGACACACCTGTCACTATTTTACTATCAGTATAGTTGTCAGTAATATTCTGGTTTCCTTCTTGGATTTCTAGTATTAACATGTGTTTTTTTCCTCACATAGTTGTGAATAATCAGTTTGAATCCAGTTTTCCTCATATGTATATTTTCTCATTTATCAATGCATGTTTACAAATATCTGTGTATCTTGTTTGGAACAGTTTCACATGAATGGACGGTTGCAGAAAGAAAGCTCTACCGAGACATGTACAAGACCAAGGGAAAGGACTTCCATGAAATAGCAAAAGGGGTAAGTCAGCGTGAAAATAAAACAGAATTTAAAAAAAGAGTTCAAAGAATATCATTAAATCTTATCATCCAAGTATGCTTTTCCATATTTGACATTACAATAGCATCAACAAATTAAAAAAATCATGGTAACTTATACACTTTTTAGTATGGTTCATTGGCTATTTTCAGTGGTATAAACAAAACTTACCTGTATTTTCTTGGTGTCTTGTTTAAATGTGTTCATTTGTGACAGAGACTTCCAGAATGCCAATACTTTGTCATAGTATCCAACTCTGTTTCAGTTTTTCTTTATTTTTTCTTCATGTAGTAATAGAGTGATCAATTTCCAATTTGCATATAGAAATCCACATACTTAGATGCATGAAGATGACTTTCTATCTTCCATATCATTTTCACCCTCTTTTTCAGATCCCGTCCAAGACTGTCAGAGACTGTGTAGAGTACTACTACTTGTGGAAGAAGCTATATCCGTATAATCATGACATGCAGAAATACTGCCATCATAGTGGAGCAAACCCCAGTGAAGAGAATCGCAAGAATGAGTGTGTAAGTTCCATTAATGACTTTAGAAAAAACCGAACAACAATTAATTGTTTTTCTTCTAAACATTCCCAGAGTATTGTGACTCTTGGTAGTGATGATTATAATAGGAGGAGCTTCTTGTCTACAGCTCTTATCCATCATTTGGTGACATTCTCTGGCCTGGTACTGTTATATTTTTACTCCAGTTATAGCAGAGCAGCCAACATGTAGTAGGCAAACATATCATGTTATCCACTTTGGCCTTTCTGAAATGGGCAGCTGTCTCGTTTGAATAAGATTCCAACTCTCAACCTCATAATTGAAAGTCAACACTTTGACACTGTTCCATGTTATGAATTAATGTGTGTCCTAGATTATTTTATGACAACTTTGCACAAGATATTGAATAAGAATTTAAGGGCTCAGTTCTGTTTCGGTTCATAACAATAAGTCCCAAGACTTCCCCGCTAGATATTTCCCAATTCATGCACTTCATGCTGTGAAAAGTGCACTAACTGTTGCATTCTTGAGTTTGATGTGAATATACATTAAGAAATTTCCTAATTGTATTGGTGGTGTTTTCCTCATGGAAGTATATTTTATTTTCATAGCTGGCATTATGGTGGCTGTAAACAGAATAATTTAGGAGATTCATGCTATTGCTATGTATATCACTTTTACTTTGTTGTGTTTGAATTATGTGTGGCGTGAGTAAATTACTCATGATTATAGCAGTGGTATCACATTCATGCAAGGTTTAAAGATTTGAAGTCATTTGTCATGATGATGAATATATAAGTTGCTTAACATTCTGGTTAAATAGTTAATTTTAAGTGGATCAGTGATTGCTTATTATATAAATTAAATGCCAGAGGTATACATTTAATCTTAAAATGTTAAATGACCTTTTGACCTTTCATGGCCTTTTTTCAGAATTAGTCCCATTCTATGGAGAGCAATATAGATAAACATAAATGAACCATTATACTGAAACGATTCAATTAGTAGATAAACAATTGTGTTTGTCAAACAGATGTGAAATATATCTCTATAAGCACCCAAAACAATATATACATTTTCTTGGGAATTAACATCACATTTTTATTCAAGCATCCACAATGCAATCACATGTATTTTATATTTAGGTAATGTATATTGAATTTTATATATCACTCCAAGTATTAGGTGTGCTGTGCCAATTAACTTTGAATGGCAAAGTATTCTAGAGTAGTCAGTAATTCATGCAGAGCTTACTAGTCGCTCCATTTGCTGTGCGATTATACTCTCATTGTGGTGCCATACTTGTTCACTTGACTAACCAATGCATTTCCCATGGGGTGATCCCTCTGCTTCTTCTCCCTCCTCTCTTCTGCGCACAGGACCTATACCCCGGTGAGACTTTCCTAGATTACGTGCCTCTCAAAGAGTACAGGCATGATAAGTACTATAGGGGAGGGACTTCTAATCCCAAGAACAATAATAGTGTGAAACCTTCCTCCACTAATCAGGAGGACAAACCAGCTGCTCAGCAGGGATCGTTTGTATGCAACTATCCACACTGTGATGCCGTGAGTAGTCCTCTTTCATTCTCATCAATGGGTAATTTAGGACCAAGGATATAACAGATTACTCTTCACTAGTGTTCTCTTTGGTTGAAATTTCAACAGAGCAAATCTAAAAGTTCAGAAAAAAGTTTAAAACTTTAGCATTGGATTTGATAATGATATTGTCTTGAAAATGGTCGGATCATAACAACATTGTATGACTTAACAAATTTCACAGGATGATTGTGCTTGACAATGTTACTGGCTGCAACATTAAAAGTGATAGCAATTGTTGAATATCTTCTCAAATTGCCCATTAAAATGACAGGTAGAAAATTCATTAAAAAGTGAACAGAGTTTAAACGAATGCCACATTTGATCAGCTGGTGAAGATATTTGCAGGTGTTTTCAGTGACTTGGTTTCCAATTGGGACAGGATTGAATGCTTTTAAAGTACACTTGGGTAAATGTAAATGTAGGTCAGTGAATAAGTAGCCTGTTGTGTGACTTTTGTTTGACCTATTCCTGGTTTTGAGAGGAAGGTCATAATATTGTCTCTTGTGAGTTGGAAGGGCGTTTACTCTATGTTAAATGCTTTGAGTTAACACTCTTCTGGCTCCTAGCAGGTGATATGTCTATTTAGACCAGCCAATTATTAAATACTACCAGATGATTTATCACCTGCTCATACACTGGGAAAGGAAGTTGACCTATTTCCTCCAGATAACACCACAAAGTTAGCTAGGAATATAGATACTAATATACTTCACCTCTTTGACCTTTAGTATTTGCCAGAGTAAAATTACTTCATGCATCTTTTCCCACCATTGTTTTTAAACAGTCATTCAAGTCACGGCAAGCTCTGAATGGACATATACGGGTACACGGGGGCAGCTACAAACCCAACGCAGCTACATCCAATACAGCTACATCCAATGCTACTACCAACATTCAGTCTAGAACAAACACATCCTCGTCTGCCTCATCAACAACATCATCCTCATACCGAGGAGGGGGCGGGGTCGGTCAGAACACAAAGCAGATGCCCCCGGAGTCATCTTCAGATGAAATGTCAAATGAAGAGGAAGACGATGATGAAGATGAAGAGGAGAGTGATGAGGGATCATCCAGAGAGCTTACGGAGAATGACGAGGATGGGATGACCAGTGAGGATGATCACCAACCTCATTTTCCATGCAAGATGTGCCACAAGTAAGTGAACACAATTCAATCCCAAATTTAACTACATGACAGATAGTGTATGTGTAACCATTATATACCATCCATTCATTCATTCATTCAACTGTGAGTTATGACATCATAAATCTAAGAAAAATAAATTGATGCGTGGATATTGATAATTAACGTCCTTGCTTTCTTACATCACACTATCACAATAGTCATTGTGAGAATATGTCATTATACCTACAATTGTGTTTGTATTTTTGCCACTGAAGGTGAGACTTATTTAACTGATTTAAAACCAAAAATGTGAGGAAAAAAAATGTTGTTTGGCCAATTCTTGTTATTTATTTTGTGTATCATGTTATTTCAGGACCTTTGACAAAATCCAGAGCCGGAATACCCACATGAAGAATCACCATGCAGCTGACAAGAAGGTTGGGATGGGGTTTGGTGGAGGCAAGGAGCAACAGATGTTCAATCACTACATGGAACATGAAAGCAGGAGTTGCTCTAGTAGTGAAGAAGATGATGAGGAGGAGGACGATGAGGAGGAAGACATGGAAGGTGATGACGATGGCCTGGAGGATGATGAGGGGATGATGTCGTCCGAGGAGGAAGAGGATGATGACATGTCGAACTAAAGCTATGCGAGCCTGAGAGTCGACGACGGTCAAGATAGAAAAGGACTATGTGTAGTGTCAGGCTGGAAGTGGAGAAGGATAGTAGTGAATGTGTGTGAAGAAATAAACTCCATGTCATGAGGGAGGACTTGTGGTGTAGCAGCTGTAAACATGACAATACTCAGTGGACAAGATGGGAGAGATGCCTCATATTTTCACGTGTACTGGGCTTGAAAAGTTCTTCTGGAAGTGTTGATATGATTGAGATAGATATACTATATGAAATGTAGATTTCCTCTGTTTCTTTCACTCGTTGCATGTTGGAACTCATGATGTTGATCAGGAACAATCGACTGTAGGAAGGAAAGTAAAGGGTGTCATATCTTAAGAGAATGAACTCTTTATATTATATATGATTTTATGTAGACATCTTTAGAAAGAAAAAAACATGAAATATCTATTATATTATATATTTCACTCTCTTTATCAGATGATTTGCAAGAAATAAAATGTGTTTCTTCTGATTTTTAATGAAGAAAAAGGGAAATGAATTCTGTAGGGTAATGAGAATGGAAACACTGCTCCCAGTTTTGTAAAATAGATATCAAGTAGATCAGAGGGAGATGGTATGTAGAGTGAATAATGGAATAGACCAAGACTTTGCCAAACTAGATTTAAGTGCAATGGAATGAAATAGGAACTTTGATAATTAAATAATGATAAACTGGAATAAGTAAGGTGAAATATAAAGATCTTCTCCAAACTAGTAGTCAAATATAGCATGCACTGAGAGGTTCCGGTAGAAATTAGGAACTCCAGGTGACATCAACCTTGTTCTGGGCTACCCTTCAACCCTTCTGTTTAGTTCCAGTGTTGGACATTTCTGGATTTAAAAAGCTAGTTCTGATGCTGTTACCATGCCTAAATTTGGAAGTCAATTCAGTAAAGCAGCCCCCATCTTTAACTCTTGCTTTTTGTCAATTTTTATTAATTGAAAAGCATTAATATTGATGAACAGATAATAGATGTTGCTATTTCTGCACAAAATCAACAATTACCCCTGCAACATTTGTATGGTAACTCAAAAGAGTCATACTTGAACAAAAAAATTAAACCACAAATTGCTTATTTAAACTAATCATCAAGCAATTCTGTGAATGCCTATGCTCTAGAAATCCATTTAGAAGTGAAACTGGCATTATCCATTCTAGTCTCACAAGTCTTCTGTATAAATATGGATGATCTTATATGACCATTGAGATGTCTTACAGTATTCTGATACACATTTCAGTATTATGCCCTTTCAGGGAGATTGATTAAAAAAGGATTCTCTCAGATCAGATGAAAAGTTAAATGTTTGACTCACTGTATTGTCTTAACATAGTAAACTGTATGTAACCAGGACAGTCCTTTGTAAAATTTGGCTTTAGGCAAACATGGTCTATTTAAATTCTTACATAAGGGGATAGCATCTTGATAAATAAAATAGAGTGCTCCTTTACGCTCATACTCCTTTACGCTCATACTCCTTTATGTGTTGAAATGAGAGTAGAAATGAAGGACCAGTCGATCTATTATAAAGAGAGGTCTGATGTGCACTTACAAGGATAATATTGGATGTTATACCAAAAGTGTAGTATGCTGAAGTTGGTTGCTTGGACTTACAGGGTGAAGCCGGTCAGAATATTTGGGTGGGAAATACTTCAATTGGATGATTGCTTAATTGTTACATGGTAATACAATTATTTTTGTATGAAATTGAAATTAATTGAAATAGAGCATTTTTACCTTAAGTTCTTAAGGACGTGATATTTTTTTGCTCATTTCTCAACTAGTATTAATTTCTATCAAATTTGTTTAGCAGGCATCCAGGTGTATTTCACTTCCATTTTTACATTTCTTGATATTAATTGTTGTCAATTTTCATTGTTGTCAACTTGACATAAGATTACAGTTTAACTTACATAAAAACTGTAGGGATTACTGCAATTTGATCATGTATATCCATGCAACCAGTCTTAACAAGTAGGATACTATTTGATTTTGGTATAACATGCATTTTCCACAGATATCATGTCAAGATATCTTTGTCCTCGTAGTCAACAAGTTCAAGGTTCCTCAAATTTTCATGTCAAAGAGCAAGTGCCTGTTCGGAGCAAGAAATATCTAAGATAAAGAATACAATAATGAAGGAAGAAATTGGACTTTGTTAGGGTGTTACAGAGAAGCACAATTATACATTCAAAAGGCACATTTTCTTGTTTGTATGCACATAACAAAAATCAACACTTCCGCTGGCTCACAAATACAATGAATTTACATAATATTTCTATAGCTTTCCTTTTTCTTTTCATTTTGTTATTTATTTCTTAACTCAAGGTCTCAGATTTCTTTTCAAACATCTTTATAACGTTTGGTGGTACCAGTATACATGTTTTTGAGATTTGTTAGATATTACCTAGTTATAACTGTCGGTGTCTTATCTAAACTTTGTGTAGTTGTGTTTATAATTCACAGAACATCTTCAAATCAAAACCATCAATGGCAATGTACTTACACTTTCTTTACTGATGCTGAAATGTTATTTAAATCAACAGATGTATTTTAGAAACTACGATGGAAGACAAGTTTTGACTGAATTGGCAGCATCTTACATTGGATGATTTCACAGAAGTGACTGCTAATGAATTGATACTCAAATAGTAAAACAATCTGGTTTTTAAATGCACTTTAAAGCTTATTCTGTGTCATGGGGAAAGACACAATTCAAAAGTCTTGGAGAATTGTTTAAAAAATGTCTCCATGTGATCTCAGTTTGGGTATGTTTGAGTGAATTGCTAGAGATTTAGTGAAGACCTACAATATTATCTGAATGTTGTTTATTTGTTGGACTATAATGATGAGTGTGAGTAAGGAAGCCAGGAACAGTCGTGAGAGTGTGAGTACCAGTGTTCTGATGATATTCTAGTATTATATCTGAAATTCATTTTGTTATATTAATACATGATACATACATACCCTCTTACCTTTTATTTTGAATTGTCTTTACATTTGACATCATGATGAAGTTTATATTTTTTCTGTCTACAGAAGAAAGAGAGAAAGAGAAAAGAATGTTATTGATTACTAAGGTTTAAAGTTTGGTACGTTTGAAGGTATGGATGTTACAAATAGCATCTATTCTCATCATGTAAAGAGATTGTTTCCTAATGAATTGTGATGAAGGCAGGATTGGATGTGATATAAGATATGCTCAGGGAAGATGGATTATATGCAGTTTGGAGAAGAGTCAGTCAGGAAGGGTGGGTTTTGATGATTGTAAGTAAGGGATATCTATATAAATACACAAACATGTACGTATCAAGTGGCTTCAGATCATATTAACAACATGTCAGTCAGCAAGAACATTTATTCTAGCTCTACAGATGTGTGCACTTTTGCAGTTCAAAATTTTCTATATATAAAACAAAAACAATTGGAAAGTGGCCTACGGAAGTTCTACATTGTGAGTGTGTGTTATCTTGTATTACTGTTAAACCTTATTTCATGTAAATTGTACATAGATAGTTTATAGTTGAACTGAGGTGTGGAATCGGATTGACATTGGTAAGTAAGGAAGCGAAAAAGAGAAAGTTTTTGGCTGACCAATGTGTAGTATTGTGCAATATTTAAATGACCAATTAAGTGTGTGGATTACATCGTTCTTAATCTATGAAGGAAATTGGATGGAGAGTGTAGAATGTGAATCTGTTCCTATTCTTTTTTTATTTTTACACAATTTTGAAATATATGATCTGAGATATCATTTATGATGGAATGGCTTTTCTTATTTTTCTATTGAAATATGTGTTTGTGGAGATTGACAATATTGTGCTTTTAGAATCTACTGGATATTTCATGTGCTTTAAGCTGTGTCTGTGTTGACTATTAAGTACTATAGTGTCATAATATCATTCACAGCACAGCTAATGTTGGTATGAGAATAGCACAATATGTTCTTATCAATGTAAAAATAGAAAAACAGAAGAAAAATGCAATCTTGTTTTGTCAAAATTGTCTACAGAGTCTACACAGAGAAGAAATTTTAATGCTACAAGTATATTTTATGAAATTTTATTGTAAGAAAGTGTCTTGAAATATTTTTCAGAATTGACTGTATAGGACTACATGTATGTGTAATGTATTATGATCAATGTTAATCTCACTTACGGTAAATGATTTTATTCTACGTCCATCATACATGCATCAGCAATTTCAGCAGAAAGAAAAGAGAAAAATTCTAAAATATTCTATTTTGCATTTTATAGATACCGGTATGGTATCTGTGGACGGGATAAATCATGGCCCTGTAACATAAATAGTCCAAAAGGATTGCTTCTCCTCAAATTAATTTGATCTCTTTCAATCAACTGTATCTTTACAATCAATGTGTATGTTCCAGAGAGTCACAATTCATCATAATACCGGTATACAATCTGCTGTAGTAGCAATGGAGATACAAGAGATATTTACAATTGATTGTAAGTTGAGCTTCATGTTACAGGGCAGGCCCGGAATAGGGTATGGATGATATACATATTAAAAAGTAAATAAACATTCTTTTAAATAATTTTGTAATGTATTAAAAGCTCCAGTTATTTTTCTCATGATGGCTGCAAATTTCATGTAATGGAATTGTGAATTAGTTGACCAGTAGAAACTACAGATCCCAAATAGAACTTCTTTTTCATGTTTTTGTTACATGGCTTTTATTTTCGCCCCCTTTCTTTGTTCTTTCAGCCAAAGATTTGTTTCAAATTTAGACAAATAAAGCATGAAAAGTTATATTTTACAAATATCAATGTCTTTGTGTTAAGGAAGATATTGATTTGAAAAATTACTAAATATAGTTTACAGCTTGCAATGACATTCATTGCTACACAATGACATTCATTGCTACACATAGAAAGCAATGCCCAATAACCTGTGTAACATTTATTTTTTTCCAAAATACACATGAAGCCTTTGTTGGTAAACTATTGTTTGAATTTAATATTTTACGGTTCCAGTTTTCTTTTGATATATAAAAAGGTATGCCATTCAAGGGATAAATGTTATGAAATTGGGAAGATTATTATTTTTTCAATTCAATTTACAAACAAATATGGATGACAACATGCACCCTTATTCTTAATTGCAAATCATTGCTTTATTAGAGATAGAGATCTGTTGTGTGTTAATGTTATTAGTTAGCGAGGAGATTAAGAAGTGCTGGCCATTGTTTCACAAAACCGTCATGAGTAGAAGATCACTGACATCATATTGTAATGTGTGTCAAATTTAATACATGTGTTGGCAGTGAACTTGTACTTATGATGGTTTTGTGAAATGCTGCCCAGGCGTATGAAAACATTTTGTGTCATCCTAACAATCATGACACAAGTAATTATGCTTCTTACTTCAAATCCGATTTGTATCTCGAGTTGAAATAGCTAATATGAAAATTACACCATCGAACAAACATTTGTTATGCTTCCTTAGTTTTTAATCTCAAATTTAGAGGGGTTGAGTTTATCCCTTGTAGTATTAAACACTTGGCAGATTTGAAATGTATTATTTTTCTCTTAAAGTAGAAGGTAGTTTGAATATGATCATGAAATAAAGCAGAGATTTACACTAGGAATTTTATGAGATTATTAGTATGTAAATACCATCAACTGCCTTTTTCCATTGGATTTGTGGTTTATGTGATTTTATGTTCAAGCCATTCTACCAGTAATGGATTATTTTCTACTTTTTACAAAAGTAAATGTAAAGAATCTCATACAAAGAAACCCAATTTTGCTACCACTTTCTATGAACTTTATAAAAGTGATTGTCAATCAAACCAGAACAGTGCATATGCAACTGCTTTATGTTTGCTTTTATCTCTTATTTTATATTTGTACCTTGATATATATTTGTGTATTTTAAAGAAAGCAAAGCAGTTATGTATGAGAAATGTGTATTATCATTTTAAAATTGAAATAAATGAAAGTCTTATTTCAATACATTGTATTCTGGGTATTCTTCTATTGTATTATTTCCATTTTAATTTTTCTTTGTTTGATGTTTGGTAGAAATTATATTTTTAATATGTGCTCCAATGAAGAGAAAACATGTCAAACAAAATGTTATATCTTTTCAGCCCTTACATTACCTGACAAAAGATGGTCAAGTTCCCTTCTGAAATAATATTGGAACATTTTGCTTGAAAATTTAAAATGTACTTTTAGTGTACTGTTATTTGATTTGATTTGATTTATTTATTTCTGTTTGATTTTCTTTTTCTTTTGCATTTTTACAAATATATAACAAACAAATATTGCAAATTTACACATGACAAAAGAATATATGTAGAATAAAGTAAGGCTGGCTGTAACTAATCGAAAACATCAAACAGGAGGGTTGACAAAGTAAGCAAAGCTTGATAGTATGACTATCCTCAAAGGATACATAATAATACAAATATGGAGGAACAAAATATTGGTAAAAGGGGGAAAAGACTGAGAAAAAGAAAGAAAGGGGGATGCACATCAATATTCACAGACTTATGTGGTAGTTGGATTTCAATTTGATATATAAAGATTTTAAAAAAGAATATATATAAGAATATATTTCAATCCAATTACCAAAGAATGGTGTTAGGTAGTACCTTGAAAGAGAAAGTAAATTCAATGTTCTAACACTATCAAAGGACTTGTACAATTTCTAAATACTTCATATGTAAGATATTGGAAAGATCATAGACATGTACAAGAGTTGAAACACAATTTTTTATCACATGTGGCCATGAAAGTGAAATGAATTTTCGAAATGTTCGCATTCATACATATAGGAAATTACTACTTCGGACCAGAAGACAAATAATAAAATTATTAGTCTCTACACAGCTCTCAATATCCAACTGCATTACCGGTAGTCAATTCTGTCTACTCTGGTTTCCGTGTGCTTTTATCTCCCTTTCCAAAGTGATTGACATTTCTAAGAATATATCATTTCAATTTGTATGTTATAGTTCATCCAAATACAGGTACAAGATTAAGGACAAGTCATAAATACCAATGTGTGAAAGTTTTACAAATACAATTTTATTTACATATCATACACAGTATATATACATATTGATACAGGATTCCTTGTTTTTTCAGTTCACTTTGCAAAAAAACATATTATGCAAAAACAACTTTCTGAATTGGCTAAAAATGTCCACAGGCACATAACATACCTACACCTTAATGTCATTTTCAGACAGAAAGGTGACCATAATCCTAGTCATAAATAAATTTCTAACTGAATAATTTTTAGTTATTTTTGGATCTATATAAATGAATTTTCAAATATGTGAAAAATATTCAGTTGGAACCTCATTATAAACATCAATTGGAGAAAAGCTCTCATCGACTGGTGATGGTCCCACTTCTTTGAAACTTACTGTTTTGAACCTTCATATAACAAGGTATCAATAAATAACATTTTCTTAGTCCCTCTTTATAACAAGGTTCCACTGTATCTCATATACAGCAAATAAACAACCCTGCAGACTACCCACAATTTTACAGGTATCATTTTGGAGAAAAAACAACAAAACCCCTTGGGATTTTAACAAAGGGATAATTTTATAATTACAACATTCAATTTTTGTTTTGATCAAGGTGTAGATAACACATTGAAATATTCATATCAAATCTTCCTATTTGAAGAGAAATTAGATATCAATGTAGAGTATGAATAATATTAATATACTTCATGCTAAAATAAGAGTGGGAGCTCTATTAAAAAAGTATAAGATCAACACTATACTGGTTATCATACAAGACTGACGAGACAAATTTTATTCAATTTAACTGTTTTTATCAAAACTGTCTTTATTTAAATAACATTATACCAAGACTTACCTTGAAAATTATGTGAGCACATCCCAAATACTCTACCTGTACCAATATTCAGTTATCTCTTACCATTTGCCACTATTGCCACATCTTTGCTCGGATAAGTTTGTGTATGATTCAAGAAGAGAATAGATCAGGCTACCACATAATAAAACTGACCCAAGTGACCTTAAACAACTGGACCAAGTCCCATCATCTCCACTTTCTTGGTGTACACTGATAACATGTTGGATGTTCATACTTAAAATGATGCTCGAGGCATCGCAATATCAAAGAGTAAAATCCTATTAGATTTCATGTAATTATTGCAGAGTAGAAGGAACAAAAGGGCAGGCAACCCCAAAAAAACTTACCATTTTGGTTGGCAGGAACATATGTGAAATGTATTGAAGGGGCTACATACATTTTTACAGTTCAGGATATTATGCTTCAGACAATAAACCTACTCTGTAAAGGGATTACCTATCTAACATGAGAGAACAAAAACAGGTTGAAAAATCAGCCTAAAATGTGATAGGGAAATTTAATGGGTCGTGATATTGTGTTGGAAATTCCTTTATGTGGTACACATAGAATTTGAACTGAAAATATACATCCACTTGTATTCTACTAAACCTCAATAATTTGTTCTTATGTCTGTCAGGGATGTTTGGTCAAACACTGCCAAATTAAGAAAAAAATGTAACTTCTTCCCGAAAACTAGGTGTATTCAATTAATATTGGACATAACTTTGCAAGAATGCTAGAGAAAGTAAGGAAAGATTACAAGAGGGTATTATAAAGAGAGGAACAACTATACTGTGTAACACCATAACATGGGCACACTTTCCACATTGTTCTCCCAAAGGTAATGTGATGAATTCCGTATAATAAAAAAATGTAAAAGATTATGAAAATCTGCATGAGGTGTGTCCATCTTGCGCAAACATTTGTAGCAATGAGATGAGTTTCTTCTGGTACATCAATCTTCATCCTCTTCTTCCATTTTGTTGTCAACAAGCGGTTCACCTGCAAATAAAACAACACACCAAATTATGTACAGTTTATTTCCATGGAAGAGTTTGAAGGGCTGATAATTAAAAAAAGTTAGTTTATCTGATATTTTGAACAAAAGTTACTGCATCCATATTTACAAAGGTTTACCCATTGGATGTACAATACATGAAATTGTAAATCACCCTCTAGCTTATCAACTCCAATAAGTGCCATTATGTGAGAAAATACATAGTATTTTTGAGGGGTTGCATCCTGTCCCTTCCCTCTGGTCCCAAATCTCCAGGACCAGCCATTCTCTTTTATGAAGTGTATTACATTGACCATATCGAAAATCACTATTTTTTAACTTGTACACGCACAGTGTTACATCATTACATCACAGAAGTTGTTTTTCTTTGCACAAAACTGATCATAAAAGTGTCAAGCATTAAACTATATTAACATTAACTAAAAACACACTAGAGAGCCTAAATGGTAGTCTTTACATAACAAATTAATTTTTGTTTACACATCAATGTATTTTCCAGATTGGAATATTGACTAAGACTAGGAAGAATGGTGTAGCTGTAATCTTACCATCAAGCTTCTTTAGTCCTGGAAGTTTCTTCATGACGAGTGTAATGTAGTCTCCGTCTGCTGAATGCTTCTCTTCTAGTGGGTTACCTGAGGAAGGAATAGAAATTGAGCAACAACTTTATTCTACTTTTTATGACACAATCAAAAGTAGTCTAATCTTCATCAAACTTGATAAGGCCTAGTTGAGTCACAGAAAACAACACTTATCCCCACCCCGCAACAACAACAAATGTTCGAATTGCTTGAAAGTACCTTTTGCAGGCCGAATATAGAAGTGTATGAATACAATATATATTTGTTGTTTGTTGTTGAATGATAACAACATCACTTGAAATTGGAAACAGATTTTTTACGAAAAAATTGACTGTTAGATTCCAAGTTGATTTCTAGGCAGGTCACAAAATATCATTTGGCTATGGGTGCCATGTGTAATACTGTAATAAAATTAATTATTTGTAAATAAAATCCATCTTAATAGTTGATTTTGTCCTAAAAATTGATCTTTGGGCTAATTTAGACACAAAAGCAATAGTTCAGTTAATTTCTTTTTAAACAGAATCATACGTTTAAAAATCTTGGCACACTATAATCTGCATTAATGGCTCTTATTTTGTTAATTAAAACCCTATATTGAACCTTCATACATAGTATTGTTGTGGTGCAAATTGAGATACAATATCTTAAAAATATAATCATATTTATTCATTTCCTGTACCATGCTTTCACTTACCTACAAATACAAGTTCTACTAGGCAAGGCAACTGGTTCAGTTTGTCGAATTCTCCCCAATCTTTGACTGAATTATTGGACATGTACAACACCTGAAGAAGAAAAAAAAGGATTAACATCATAAAAGCAAGAATTGCTACAAAATTAATCTTAAACACAAATACAAAATTCCACAATGAATGTTTTTCTGCTTTGGTGCACCTTCATTATTAATAAGATTTTCATCTTGTAATTATTTCAAAAAGTTCTGCTGTCACCAATCTCTTTACTCATGCGACAGACAAAGGGTTGTTGCTATAAAGGGATTGATAAAGACCAAGAAGCATTTACTAAATTTGGACAACAGTACCTTATGAATAGCAGCTTATAAACTCAGGACATCTAGTAAAGTTTAAACAAACATGACTAGCAAATGCGATAATACCAAACAACAACAACAACAACATTTGAACCCATTTCATGGCAGTCATACATTGGCTTCTGACTGGTGAATTGTGACCAAACTATTAATCGTTTTAAATGAACACACAAAATATCAAACACCAGTATAAACACCATTGTGGCATCTCATTACTTAAACAGTTGACTGAATTTTCATGTTTTCTATTTTTGAAGGAATGTTTTAAAAGCAAACCATTTATAGAATCATGACTGAGCCAAATCCAAGACTTACTTTGAGTTTCTTGAGGACCTGGATGCCTTTCAACTTCTCAATAAAGTTGTAGGAGATCCAGAGTTCTTGTAATGTGTCCGATACTGCTTCCTGATGCAAGGAAATAAAGTGACAAAACATTAAATTTGAGCTCCCTTCTTAACGATTAATTTAAAAAATTGTAGACAGCACATAAAAATACCAGGGTTTCAAGCAATTCAGACTGATTAACTCTTTCATAAGGAGCTTAAAGATAGATAAATGGGTTTGATGCTTTTAGTAATGGTGTAAAATAATTTTCTTAATTGAATGCTGCTATCCCTCTTGACTATTGAGGGGGTTTGGCCCTCTGCAGCCTGCACAAGAGATGTGTCTGTATATACAAATGTATTTCAATAATACAAATAAATTATGTATCTATAGCGCTTAACACAATTGTTTCTAAGCACTTTACATCAATTTGTCAAAACAATCAAAATTATCTTGCATAATTAAAGAAATTAACGACATACTGTAAACTGAATTTACAAAGGAAGTAGTATGCAATATCAGACAAAACAAGAGAATAGACAGGAAGGATTTATCAAATACTACATTTAACATTGAAAACTCTGTGTAAAGACAAAGATGAATAAAAAGGCATAGAGAATTTTTTTGTTTGTTAAATCTCTGGCAAAATTTTGTAGAGTAAGTGACTTTAGACTTACCAGTCCATTGAGATTCTTGATAAGATTTCTACCAAGTGATAGAATCTTGAGGCTTTCTACAATAATGAAAGGATAAATAGACAAAAATTAGAATAACGGTGGCTTCTTATTTAGTGCACATGTCAATCACACCGAACAGAACAAATCAACACATCACTAAATAAAATAATGCAATTTATTAATTATTTATTAATTACCGTTAAACAAACAAATATGATACTCTGGCTATTATCATAAAATTTTCACACACAAAAAAAAAAAAAAAACAGCTGCAATTGCAACTAGCATTTAGTGCATCTCCTCAGTCTTATTGCTTTTTCATTGCAGCTTCTTTTAATAATAGCGAGCTTTAGATTTTCGACACACCGAACGATCTCTACTACGAGTGACGTCACTTTGAGTAACTGCGCATGCGCCACCTGCTTCTAGCTCGTCGTCTGTGAATTGACACAACGGGAGTCGGGCAAATTTTAGGCTTATCTCGAAGTGATCACAACGACTACGAGCTGGACACAAATGCCGAAGCCAGCCATCAGACTACAGTATCTGGTGAGAATATAATTCAAGAAGATATACATGTATGTGACTGCAATGAAAACAACAAATACCTATGAATTTGATCAATCATGTTACTTCAACCTATTTAATTTCACTTTTTTGAAGAAATTAAGGAGTTTTCTGCACAGCTGAGGTTCGAACAGCTGTGCAGACTAACTATGACGTAACAAAGAAAACTTGTCACGCGCATATCACTGCGTATCACTGCGCATCACTGCGCATGCATTTAAACATTGGCACCGCGTCGGGTGACAATCTTAAGCGCTCGCCCAACGTGGATTCAACGACGAGCTTAATAATGACGTCACTCGTAGTCGAGGTCGTTCGGTGTCAAAATCTAAAGCTCGCTAATCATAATAGACTCCTACAGTGGTCCAGTGCAGGGAGGTGGGATACTCCCTGCACTGTGTGATCCAATTTCTCAAGCTCAAGATCAAATCAGAGTACAATAAGAAACAATGGATCCTATTATTATCTCTCAAACATAATAAAGCAATCGGCTTTGAATGAATGACTACAATGGTCTACCAAGGTGGAATTTCCAACATATTATGTAAAATGTTTTTGAGCCATCTTCATGAGCATTTCAATTACAGTACACCAAACCAAAACCCTGACTTATCTTTCATTCATTATATTCTAATATATTAACTATGTTGAACTTGTATGCCAGTGCACTCAAAGTTCATCATACTGACAGCTCACAGGACTCTTTGAAGATAATGAAAGACATATAAATCAAATAACAAAATGTTTAAGCTTTACTCACTTAGGCCATTCAAGTTTGCAATCTTTTCAATCATATTTGTTGAAAGGGACAATTGCCTGCAAAAAAATATAATAATAAAAGCAACAGTTAATCATAAATAAATTTATTAAATCAAAACATTTATTCTTAATTAATGTAACTATATATATACTGCATTTAGATCGATGGATTGCAGACATTCGATAATTTTTGAAAAATTGATGTCTCACCAATTACTTCATAATCAGATAATAAATATTATGCTCAGAAAAATATTACACTAAGTGTCATAGTCAAGGAATTGATGAATTATAGATGTATACAATCTTCTTTTAAACCAGGGTAAAAGGTGTTCAACCACATGATGATGTAAAGTCAATGACTAAAATTTGCAATTTTCATAAACAGCTTTTATTTGTAAATAATACATGTTTAATATGTATCCTTTACCGTCTTCACTTTTTAGGTTAAAAATCCTTTACTTTTTTTCTTTTCTTGGAGGGGGGGGGGGTTGAGTTGGTTTAGAGCATTTACACGTACATGTACTGTACATGTATATGGAGAGATATAACATCCGACTTCTATCCACATACATGTAAATGACTTTGTATTGTATTATATATAATAGAGATCATAAAGACTCACTCGCAGTTGGCCAGAGTTGAGAGAGATGCATCCATTTTATCAATGGGAGGGATCTGGAAGAAGAGCTTGACTGCCTTTGCATCAGAGGCTTTGACCTTTTCCTTGCTCTCACTGTTTTCCATTTCTTTTGCCTCCTGCAAAAGAAATATGAATCAAGACAATATTCCCATTTGTATTGATTGAATATCTTTTTCAAAGCAACACAAAATATACCTGGAATGTTTGAATATTTAATCCAGTTCATGATTCACTTGATTGTTATGTTGAAAACTGTCACTCAATGAGTGAGAGTAATGCAAGAATGGAATTGCATAACTTTGAGGGCTTTAATTTTTTAATCATTAATGGCATTCAGTTGCCATTGGCTAGATATAACCATAGGATGATCTGGTAATACCCTTGCAATCATGGGTATTATTATCAAGTCCAAAATCCCATTTCTGAGAAAAGTTCAAACTCCAAAAAGAAATCTATAAATCAAAGTGATCAGAAATTTTACAAATTTTCATTTTCAGCCACAGATGCACGTAAATTTTGGTCTGTTGCAAAGAACACTAAGTTTTCAACTTGCAAAATATACAGTACTGCGGACAATAGAGTAGTAGTTGGCTTGACCATCTTAATGATATAGAGATCACAGAATGCTTACCCATCTGGAGAGGGCTTCTTTGATTGTGGTCCCTTTATTACCTGCCTGTAAAACAAGGGAGTAAAAGAGAGAATTAAGACAAAGGAAGTGTAAAAGATGGGTCTATGAGTATGATATATATGCCACACACTATCTAACAATGTAATAAAGCGTACCAAGACCTCATTGTCATTGGGACCAATACCACAGACATGTACACCACTGATATTATTGTGTTAGGGTCTCGACTTATGGTGGTGTGACCATAGTTCGCGCGTGACCTAATTCGCTATCTCAAAAAATAGTAAGATTTCGAAAAACTGATAGACTATCACCAGTGGAAAAAGTAACATAAAATTACCAAGAGACAGATTTTTTTCTGGAATCAGGTGTCAAATTATGAAAATATTGAAAAAAGATCCGCAAATTTTGCCGTCATTTGAAATTGTTCCGAAATATTATTAACTTACCGATGAGACTAGTTAGTCTAGGGTCTGGAAATCTCAATTTTGAGAGCAGATATCCTCAAAATTGTAAGTAAGAAGTGGTTCCAACTGATTGTAGGATATCTTGTTTTGCAAATTATGAAATCACCTTATTCGTGATGGATCACATTCTTTTATAAATCAGCTGTAAATCTGGTGCACGAAGATAGTTATCGTTGTTTTTATGACTTTTTAAATTTTAGTTGCAGAGCACGCGCCGATCCGACATCAAAATTTTAGATCGCGATATCTCCGGGATCCTTTAATTAACTTTCTAGTTGAACCAATTTGTAGTAAAATACTTTGCCATCCATTTTTGTAATAATTGAAATAAATAAATTTGTGTAGAATATGAGAAATCATAGATCGATTAGTCTATCACATTTTCTAATATTTTAAAAATCTCAGCGAACTTTGGTCAACCCTTCAATTGGCCAGCTATATAGAGTAGTGGCTCCGGTCTGCAGCCGATCGGCGGGAACTGCCGATTCTATTTTTATTGGAATACTCACAGAATACTTTAATACCCTCAATAAAGAGTCCATATACTTACTTATTAAATAGAAGTCACAAATAACCTAACTGACCCACAGCGTGGTCAGCATTGACCACGTTTCGAAATGCTTCGAGTTCCCCGGTTTGCGGGCACGCATTACCGGTTTGCGGCACGCGTACGTCACAAAGCTTTATGCGCTACGTCACGATGAAAGCATGTACCAAATTACTACGGGTAACCCAAATTCTCATGTTTATCTGTTGCTACGGTAAATTTGTCAAGTTTTAAACAATTTCACCTTTTCCTCGAATGGAACATCCCATCTGGGAGTAAGTACTACTAGAAACTATCGGGTCATAGCGGGTACACACATCAGCACACATACCATCATACACGATCCCACATGTTATGTGTGTATTAACACCCCCCGCCGCAAACCAGAAAAAACACGTAATTACGTGCCGGTTTGCGGCCACCCCATGCAACTGGCCATGCGGTGGCACAATCAAAATATCTGCGATAGGAGACAGACCACAGCCATCATACTTCCACAAAAACATCAAATTTCACCTCCAATCGGACAAATATCGGACAAATAGAGCTACAATATTGATCTAGTCATGCCTCGATCTCTTAACTTAAAAGTTAGCACCTGCTGGAATTTTCATCGGCGACTGGTGCCGTAGATTTCCGACATCGCTGACGGATACTCCGTACCGACAGGAGCACCTGCTACGGACGTTTTCGGCAAAGCAGAACTTACCGTGGAATCCGCGGTAGGTTTCAATGATTATTATCGAGTCATATTCATTTTATTTTTAAAACAAATACCCCTGGCCGCAAACCGGGCGATGCCGCAAACCGGAGACTCTAGACTACTCTAGACCTACTCTAGGCCAACTCACACAGCACATTTAGATTTTCTAGCCTATTCATTTGTCTTTGTTTATCAAAATTAAAATCAGTTTCATTTCCATTCTCCACAAAAAGGTAAAGCCTAACAAGAAAATAAGAAAATCGGTGAAAATATTAATTTCATTTTTTTTTAAAGGTTCGATCGATCGAAGAAAAATTATCCGTGTGTTCATGTTGTCAACACGACAATCCCGATTCCCCTCTTCAACTTTCCATAACACTGACTTAGTCTACAACAGGAATAAACTTACCATTTTCTGCAACAGATTCAATTAAGCATCAACGACAGAACAGTTTAGTGATGAGAGCAAACTTAAAGTTAAAATGCTTGTCCTTCGGCCTTCCTTTATTCGGTGTTAAGCTCGCCGTAATCTCGCTTGAGTGTCCATAGAAACGTAATGAAGATTACATGGCTCGTTCTATGTCTGTTTTTTAGTATATGGTTAAATTATTTTAAAAACAATATTTAATAACAAAATTTATATAATTAATATAAATTAATGACATAAAATATTTTTTAAAGGGTTATAAATTTTCTCAAAATTGTTAATTACAATATTTTTGTGTACTTCTTGAACTTATACATTTCAAGATGGCAACACTCTTAACCTCAAAAATGATCCGAGCATTTGGACGTCCATTGTCAGCTATTTTGAGTTCAGTGAGTAACAGTTTGTAACGGAATTTAACATATGAATAAATTTGATTCATTTTATTATGTAATTGCTCCGGCCGGTTATCAACAACAATTTATTAGCAGTATTTGTATCACATGCATCTATTACATTGTCCCATGTACTCAGATCGGCGTCTGTACATAGAATTCTTGTAGAACCTTTTTACTTGCACTGTACACTGCACTCGGCACTTGACAAACACAAGGTACGATAATACGCCAACGGCGGACTGTACTATACTGGAAGAAGAAGAAGAAGAAGAAGAAGAAGAACGAATGTTGTTGCTGTTGTTGATGTTTTAGTTTTTATGCGTAGCGCCTAGCTCTATATCTAGGGTGTCTGAACGATTTTTCAATTTTCAATTTGGGATCGTTTTTCACCATTTTTGTTTGATATTTGAATTAAAAATGTAATCAGAATAATACATTTCAAATTTCAAGTCTCGCCGATGTTTCTATCAAAAGATACAGCCCCTTCAAAACGCTGAAATATTCATAGCATTTTGCTCAGAATCGACGAAAAAGACGTACACGCAGAGTTATGTTGTTTTGCTAAATTTAGCCAAACAGCTGTATCGCGCGATATGCAAGCGTATGCATATCGTACGCAAGTTGCTCAGCCAATGCGCGACTTGCAAGCTTGAGCTACGCTGTCTCCGCGACACGTGCCATTGACTAGTATGGTTAGCGTTCGTCGCACAAAAAACCCGGAAGTGAATGCACGTTATAGTCAATGGCAATATCGCGGAGATGTCTCCGCGATATTGCCATTGACTACAACGTGTATTCACTTCCGGGGTTTATAGTGGGAACGGCCATCCATACTTTCATTCACTATAAGCGCACATGTTACGCGATGTAACCATGCAGTCAGTCCGCAGCGCCCGCGAATTCGCACGTATTTATACAAGTCGTATGCAAGCTATGTACGGTAAAAACGGACAATAAGCAGAAAACATTGGTACATGAAAATTATGATTGCATCAATGTTTCTCTATAGATTTTTTTCATTTATGTACCAATATAAAGAGGATAGACCAAATAATCCATCTTTACAAAACATCAAGATATTTTTTTAACGTTAACATGCTTTTAAAAGAGCATTTAAAACAGTCTAAAAAACACAGCAACTTAACGATATGCAGCATTAAAAAAAAATATGAAAACGCTACTGCATCAACAAGTAATTTGGTTCATTGTGATGATAAATATACAAACTTTCAAACCATCACTGTTTCCTTTGTTTTAGTTCTTTATATCGGTCAGGAACACGGTAAATACAACACCATGTTCATTCCAACATATTCAACAGCGGTGACACAGCCGATATGCGTGGGTCATCAGAGTATGAGGTCACCCGCCGACCGGGGGATACTACGTTTTATCTAGCTTTGCGTCGATTATCGATGTTCTGTGTCCGTGCGCTGTACATGAACACGCACGGAGGATAGACGGTGATTAGGGATATTCACGTATTACTCTCGGGAGCGTAACCCCCGGACGTAGAGGTTTTGTACTGCCCCACATACTTATTATTGTGTATTATACTCATGCGCTACTTAATAATAGAAGTCTACAGAGAGTAAAAGTAGGATGCGGATACGTACTCAAGTACAATCAAGTACACTATAGAATACCAGCTCTAGAATGAATAGGGGACAGTGGGGAGGGTTTAAGTGTCTTTATGTGCTATATTTGGCCAGGCTTTGATATCATTTTAACAAAGAAGACACATTTTCTTTCTCAAATGTTTATTTGTGAAAATACAAACTTTCGGGGGGGGGGGGGGGGGGGTGGGGGATGCGATTGGCATTGGTATTGTGATTGAAAAAAATGAAAATATGATTGTTCCCATCCCTGCTGATAAATTTCATGGTTTTATTGCAGGCGGTTGGTTGTAAAAGTTATGAAATGTGTTTTTATTTAAATTGTAAACCATGGACTAATGAGAAGAGCCTTAAACATTTATTTATTTTGGTAATCCCCTGGCATTCTTTGATGGCAATATTTTATTTGATGGTTCTTTTGTCAATTTATGTAACTCCAGTTCATGTGTATTTTTAGAAATAAAATAATTACAAAATTCTTTCCCTTATTCGCTTTTCTGTTTGATTTTGTTTTAGAGTGACCCGCAAAATATATATGATCATTTATTTTCTGTTTTTGTTTATATGGTAATGACCATCGATATAAATTTTAATGTGTGGTGGGTTGAAAGGGTGCAAATGAAATTAATAATATTCTAATTTTCACCTTCAACATCATTATCACAATCATCAAAGTCATCATCGCCATCACAATCATCATCATCACCATCATGATCACCACTATTAGCATCACCATCATCATAATCACCGTCACCATGATCATCGCCATGACGCCATCGCCATCACCATCATAATAATCACCATCAGCATTATCACCATAGCCATCACCATCATCACAGTCAGCATTATCACCATTGCCATCATGATCGTCGCCATCATCATAATCACTGTCAGCATTATCACCATACATGTAGCCATCACCGTCATCACCATAGCCATCATGATCATCGTCATCGTAATCACCGTCATCATTTTCACCATAGCCGGTTAAACAAAAAATATATTATTAACACCACTACTAATGATAAATAATTATAAATGAAATAGGACTAGGAATAACATTTCGATTTTATAATATTCATATTTTATTTATAAACTGACTTTGACATGTATGTTGAGAACTTGAGACCATTACTTGCATAAAATATGTCGCTGAGAATAAAAGTATTATCAGAGTAAAACATGTTTAAATTGTATAACAGTGACAGTTCAATCAGTTTTTTATTATAATAAATGCTTTGTTGATGTAAAGCTCCGGAATCCCACCTTCGAAGTATCAGAGATACAAAAATGTAATCACTTGAAATGGATTTTCCTTTTACTGAAAGAATAAGCTGAACAAAATCCTTCTCGTCCTTCTCCAAAACTCCCCTTTCAAGATTGCTTGTTCCTATGTGAAGTCCAGCAAATGCTGGTCCAGGAATGCAATGGAGACTGATGTGTGAAGTCTGTGTCTTAGAAGATTTGTTGTCAATGTTCCGCAAGTTTTGATGGTTGAGTACATCTGTCAGAAAAACAACAACATCTACATCTACATCTAAGGTGGTACTGGACAGGACCAATTGGTATATATGTCCAGACTTCCGTGGCATCGCAAACTGTCAACAAACATCACAACTGAGGGTGCAGAGTTCAAAAGTCAAAATAAAAAGGTGCTCATAAAAATACAGTGGGTTGCAGACATCATCTAATTTTTAGATGAAGTAGAGCCACATCAACGCTCTAGCCCGCCTGTGTACAGCTGCGCTGAGTGGTCAATCTGCATGTAGCTCCAAACTTTGGTATGGAAAGACTTGGCCGATGTTGACTCTTTGATGATGGTGGCTGGTAGTTGATTCCATTGCGTAATGGTACGAGGATTTAGAAGCTGTTCTTGTATGCTTCGGTCCTGGCAAATGACAAATGATAAAAAGGAACATAAAATGGCTTAGTTCAGGTATGGGGATTTAAAAGATCTGATCAAAGTAGCTAGCCATTTATGGTAGACAAAACCCGCTCGCATTCAAATTAATTTTTTGTAATGAAAACAAATTACAGGTGTCAAATTCATGAAATTTTCCCTTCATTTTTCCACATGTGCACAAGTTAAAATGTAAGTGTTTAACTTTGGATTTTTGTTATAATTCTCCTTTGTTCACATTACTTGCACAAGGGAAATGCTGCTTATTTCTATGGCTGGTTGTAAAGTTTGAGTTGACCAGAACCAAAACAAAAGGCACAACCAAAGTTTGAGAATCCCTAAATTAATAATATAATTATCTGAGTCTGACCAGACGCCACTCACGCCAGAGTCACTGTTTAACTCTCACAGCTGACTGTTAAATTCGTGTCAAAATAAAATGGATTAAGCATAAATATTATCAAGAAATCATGCCAATTTAATGGGATAGTACATGATGTAATTAATTGTAAGTCGAGGGCCCCAGATCAAATATGGCTTTGTTTTTATGTCGGATCGGTACAGAAAAGGCTATGTATGGGACCGGTACGCGGTCACGGTGATGAATACGAAAGTGCGACCATGTTGGCCAAACGTACACTTTTCGCGCCATATCGGCAAAAATGAGTGTTTTTAGCGTAGCCGTCACACAACTTCCGGTTGAAAATCGAAAAATGTGTAACTTTCATGGCCATAAAAGCTAATAAAATACATCGTGCATCAATCGAACTCTGCACTTTTTCACTTCTGCCAACATTGTTTTTGTGAAAAATCGAAGAATTGGGGAAAAACATCTCTTATATCGGTCAGGAACACGCTAAATGCAAGATAATGTCAGAATACCTCCTACGAAAGAAGGAAAATTGGACACATTTCAATGACTATTTACAATCACTCAGATGCGGTAAAATTAGGAAAATTTCATATCAAAATACGTAGAAAAGTATGGAGATACACTTACCCCTACGTGTTACGCAGCACAGTGAAAGGCAAAGCAGCTATGATAAAGTTTGTTGACCTGTGCAAAAGTCTCACGAAATCTCGCAAATCGCGGGACACGAAATACGACGGTTTATCGCACTTCCGGGTGCTGTATAAATTTGGTCATTCTGCCTAATTATCGCGGGCGTTGCGGACTGACTGATGGTTTGGACTGAGCGGAGCTCACGCCTCCCTAATTAGCTGATTCCAAAAATGTGGGAGGGTATTTTCAAACTGTTATAACAAATGATCCCTTGGGGCTAGCAAAAAAAAAAGCATCTGGATATTATCCTTACGTCTAGCCCTGCTTAAGCCGCGGGGCGGCAGCTCAGGAAAGTGGCAAATTTTGGAGCTAGGATGCAAACAACATTTCAATCGCTATTTTGACCAAGATATTTTTAGAATTCTGGGGGTGGCCCCCGATGGGGAATATGGAGAAAAACCTGCTCTTTCATATGACACCTCATTTATTGAGTTTCACCTTCAGGATCATTTGTTATAAAGGTTTGAATTTCAAATTTTTTCATAAAATCATTGACCAATTTTGGATGGTCGCGCAATGCACGTAGACCACATAGGGAAGCGTACAATCTCTATGGGAAGGGTTTTAGCACACAACATTGGGTGCGCGATCAGACACCCTACTATATCATTCAATTATGAATATGGCGCTAGTTCAGAAGTCTATCCAAAATTGACCTGTAACTCCGGCGTGGATACTAAAACATACCCAAAATGAAGTAAATATTCATGGAATGTCCAAATTTGAAAAAAAGGGTCATGATTTAAAAGTTGATATGTTTGTTACCTGTTTCGTGTCAATTTTCTTATCTTCTGCAGAGTATTTTTCCTAAAAAACGAAGACTTATAATATGCATTTTCTCAAGGTATTCACTGCAAACTTAGGTTACAGATTAAACTCGCTAGTTTTATTCTTCATTTGAACGTAGTGTCTAAATCGGTCTACCATTGAAAAGTTGCCGAAGATCGAAAAGTCAGTTATTTAAACTAGTCCCATGGGCCATGCCCATGAGAATAACAATTTTCATGTAGGTATTTTTCTAGATATTTTCTAGTTTTAAGCATAACTTCAATACAAATCATGTTAGATAATTATTTGATATTTATTTCTTAAAACTATCAGTCATAAAATATTTGGTTTTCACTATTTTCGTAACTATAAATAGAATCAGGGTCTTCTTTAGATTGGTTGTGAGGTATTTGGTATACATCCTCTTACTTGCAAATTTCCATTCCCTTGTCTCCAAAACAACCTTGAGTTTCATCATTGTTTGTACACTACATTCTTAGTGATACTGATAACATATGTTTTCGTGCTAATATTTGATGTTTGTTCATTTGTGCCCCCACTCTCTTATTTTTTTATTTTTTCAATTAGTTTGAATGAAATTGAACCTCATAATCTCTTTTGATAATTCAGGATAAAATCTAATGGATTGTGGCATTTTTTTTTAGCCAATAGTATCAAAATCATGAATTTGTCGCTGATCATAGTTTTGTGAAACGGGTTGTCTGGTTCCTGACTGTCATGGAGTTGGTTTTCATGAAATGATCCCTTGGATGACATTTGCTTGTAATGCAGTACTAGTAAAGTGTTGAGGGTAGAAATTGATTGATGTGTTCTACCACATTCTCCCTTAGATAGATTTATGAATAAACAAACAAAGATTAGGAGAAATCATTTAGAATTGAACAAATACCCCTTAATTTTTATAGTTTTGTGTTTGGAATTTGAGGTTTAGGAATTCATCACAATGTTCGAATTTTAAAACTAAATAAGACTACATCTTTTGTCTTATTTCAGGAACCTTTCTTAGTACAGACAGTTCTGAAAGATCATGGCTCATTCAGATTTCTTTCACAGTTATCAAGGTAAGCATAATATATCTCACTCATTGTTTTCTGTCTGCGGATGAAAGTGACCTGAATTTACTATGTATCATCAAAAATATGCCATTAAAATGGTTGAAAGTCCAAGAGCAGTATATCTATCATTATAAACCACTTTTTCCTTCCTCTAAAAAATCAAATCTGAGTTGACATTCTTTATTATTTTAATTTTGATTTTCAGATTGCAACTCCCTAAGAGTGGACTTTCTCACACAAGCTGTTTATCTCAATGTCCCACAGGTAACATTTATTTATTTCATTGCTTTCTTTCTCTTATGTCAAGTGAAGTGTTTGCAACTCTATATATGCTGACATTTTTTGAGGAATTACTGTGTTACACTTGAAAATTTATTGATTCTCCTAATGTTTAGTGTCCATAGTTTTCAATATTTTTCTTATGATACATTGTGCATTTAGTTGTTATTGGAGCCTAAAGGTACTATCTAGCACCTTTAAGTGAATGGTGAGTAACTATATCTTACATTGTTTCACAAAACTGATTTGAAAGTAAAAGAAAATGACAGGAAGATATAAGTTGGTCTAACAGTAACATTAGTGATACACTCTGCTCTCTGTTTTTGCTAACGAACTGACTTTGATTGACCTCGTTTGAACCTGTCAATATTTGTACGATATGTCTCTTGCTCTCTATATCAGGCTCACCATTACCAACACCAACACTTGTTTCACAATGTACAAGACTGGCTAGTTCCCCATACACAACGTCAAATCAGCCTACACAACAAGAACAGGTATGGAACCATATCCAGTGTTTAATTACATTTGTAAATAAAAGTGAGTTATACGAAGCAAAACAGAATATATATGAAAGCATTGAATTTTTAAAACATTTCTAACCACTAGGTGAATTGGTATTTAAAGGTTGGTGCACTTTTACTCTCATAAGGTTATGTTTTAATTGATAATGTTGCTGACTAAGCAAGGATAAATGTTACCATAGAGATATGAATAAGGTATTTTTTATTTTCTTTCTCTTTTTCCATTTTTTTTTTGTATCTCTCTCTCTCTCTCTCTCTCTCTCTCTTTTGCTTATGCAATATCGGTACATAATGCATCCTTGTTTGTGTACATTGAAATCAGTCTTTTCCTCACACTGTGAATGGCATTGCTCTTTCTTATATTCTGGCAATTTTTGAAAGGCAATACTGTATATTTAATAAGATAATATATAAGATTTGTAGGATGCCAGAATCCACTTGAAATCAAATGCTCAAGGCACACTAGTGCAAAAGATTGATTACACATAGTGCTACAAACAAGCAGTTACTGTAGTACATGTACATGTACTTACAAGTAACAATGACAAATGTATCACAGTAAAATGACATGTTTGATGTTAGTTGAATTTAATTAATACAAATTACTTCAGGGATATCAACAATTTTAGAGTTTTCTCTCTGTCTCTCTCTCTCTCTCTCTCTCTCTCTCTCTCTCTCTCTCACTCTCTCTGTCTGTCTGTCTCTCTTTCTCTTCTTTCCTTTTTCTTCCTAACTGTATATCTTGAGTGACTTCTCATCTATCTCTCTATTAATTCAATGCTTTGTCTACTGAACTATCTCAAATTCAGGCAAATAATGAAGAACCGGAGGACAAGCTGTATAAATGGATAGAGCTGAAGGTCAAAGGTCATGAAGATGCTGTTCTAGAAAGCTACACCAAATATGTGAATCTTGCTGCTAGTGAGCTGGATATCAATGTTGACAGCATGTGAGTAGAAATCTATTTTATGACCACGGTTTTCTTTTCCTTAACTTATCAGTTCAAGTGCAATAAAGTTTAAAAGGTGCAAGTTCCTATGTGTAGTTCTTCCACAAAAATACTTGAATGTGGAATTGTTATAGTTTTGTATTTTTTTCTTTATGTTGTTTTTGATATCATGAGAAAGTGAGTACATTTATCATCAAATGTGTGTCTTTCCTGCATCTGGCTATAGAGACCGTGCTTATTTACACTAACAATATCATATATATATAGCAACAAGTAAATTGTCACATGATTTTACCCCTTTCTTTTAAACCTTTTTTTCCTGTCTTATTTATAGTGGTGTGTGTATATATGTTAATATGTATATGTAGGTCATTTGGGCAGAGATGGTCATGGAGTCACAGATATGGGAAACAGGGTTACGAAGTAAAGTAAAATAGAGAACAAATCTACTTTTCTGGTTTCAATGCAAGCCTATTTTTAGCTTTTTGTGTATGTATGTTTCTGGGAAAGAAAATATATCAAGGAATCTTAATAGTGCTACATAGTGCTTTGATTTAAAAGTCTTTCACTGAATGACAAAGGTATCACTCAATTTATTCCTCTTTTATTAGAGCCAAGCCATTCAGAAACATCAAGAGACTGACCCTGTTAAAGTCAAGGCATGTATACAAGAAACACAGAGTACAGTATGAGATGAGGACATACTACAGAGTCATTAGAGTGAGTATACCAATACACCAGTCTGTACACAGATAAGAAATCTCCATTTCATTTCTCTCGTGCCTCTTCTTCCTCATTTTGCTGATTCTGTCAATTGTGATGACAAAGAACAGTTCTGTTTTTTGCTACCACATCTGGCAGAACATGAGAGAGAATCAGACAATGATCCTAAATGTTCCACTCTAATATCTGTACTATGAGTCTATGACATTTGTGTAGTATATGTGACTACTTATGTAAGTGTATGTATTGCTTTTAACTGGAATATGAAATGAAACCTAACTTAAGCTTTGAATAGGAATTTTAAAAGAAGGTGATGAAAAAGTAGATGTAATACAAAAAGAAATGAAGATGTAGAATGGAGAAAGTAGACATATATTTTGTTGATTGTTTGATTTTTATGTTGTTGCTGTTATCTTCTCTTTGATTAATTTAGCAATATAATTTTGTTTCTTCATCTTGTTCCTCATCAGCTGAAGCATTTAACAGGATCTACAGCCAGTGTGTTCTTAGAGTACATCCAGAGAAATCTACCTGAAGGTGTTGCAATGCAAGTTAAGAAGGTAAAACACTAAATTCAACATTGTCAAAAATGATTATTTACGAATAGTAGTCAGACCTGAAGAAGAACAAAAAATGGAAATAATACTGCACAAGGCAAATCCACAGCATTTCTTTATCCTACATGTTTGTCCACTATGTATTCAAATGGAATAATAATGAAAATTGATATCATTTGTATAATTTCATTTTGTATTTGACCAGTTCCACATTGAAGTAGCAATCCAATGTCAAATGTTTTGTTTGTTTGTTTTTTTGTGTTCTATTGAAATGAATGATAAGTTTGGATGAAAAAGTAGCTGAGTGCTTTTAAATTACTATGCATACCAGGTACTCACTTATCTGTGTGTAATAAGATGTGAAGCCGAGTAAAAAGAAAAAAAAACATTAACAAAATTAAAATGAAATCAAAATGTTGTAAACTGTGGCATTATACTCTGGTTTATGTCCACTTTGAACAAGCCTTTATTATCATTATCATTATCATTTGTTTCTTCTTTAATCCTCCAGTGTTCTATTGAGAGGTTACCGGTTCATCTGCAGTCTCCTCCAGAACAGTTATCAGAAGAAGATCTTGATATTTCATCATCGTCGTCCTCGTCTTCCTCATCAGAGTCCGAAGATGAAGCACAAGACATAACAAAATGATACTCCAAATCTCAAAACTGTGAATTATATATTTTGAACTTCTCATATTGTTGCAGAACCGTGGCATATCTGTCCTATGTGTTTAACTTGGAGATATGTAATGAAGCTGGACAAGTAAAAACGTCTGTACCTGTATTATTGGAATATTCTGAATTTCACATTCATGGTAGGAGCATGCACAAAAGTGCATTATTCAATAATACTGAGGTTAGAAGCTTATTGAAACAGGCATTATCAGATGTTCACCTCTTCAATTCTCTTAAAGATAAAGACCAGTTATGGTCATGCGCTTGCATTGTGAAAGAAACATTGTGGAATCGATCAGAAAAGGTTGATCATCTAGCATATAAGTATTGGTGTGTACTGCAAGGTTGTAGAATCATCAAAATGATAAGAAATTTGGCCCATTCTTCGTAAAGTTACAAGCACTGTACACAGAAAGATGTATATGGGACTACGCAGACGTGCGCGACACGTGCGTTTATCTCTCACACACCAATAGATAAACTAATTTACCAAATATATCAATTAGTAGGCGGTTTCCCGGCAAATCTTTTATCATCAATTATTAGTCAAAACATATTCTTTCACATGATTGGTAATAAGAGCTTCCATTTCATTTTTTGAAATTGGGGCGTTTCCAATACTGGTCTTTACCTTTAAGTGAAACACATCAAAAGGTTCAGGAGTGTCCTTTTATTCAATGTCATTATATAATCAAGAATATCTTCTACGATCCAATATTTTATATTTAATCTATTAAAGATAAATGGCAATACAGTCAAACCAATATAAAAAGATCACTAGAGAATATTTGGAGAGTGACCTCTGACAAATGTCTGCTATGGGCTCAATATATTATGTAGACATTTCTTCTCTAATTAACTAATTATGTCAGATGTTTACAAGATGTTTGTATTTGTTCAATCCTTGGACAGAGTATGACTGACATCACTGGAAGTAAGATCAATCAAGAGAAAAGGAAGAGAAAAGAGATGTAATAGTTTGCTGGTAGTGATAAATGAGTCGTGAAGAGTCCTGATAATTTTTGTAAAAACTAATGATTGAGGCACTGACCAAGTGGACACTGAAGGCTTTGTACAGGTGGTTTATCAACAGAGGTCGTCAATACAGCATCTGGTCGTACGTTTTCTTTGGATTGAAAGAAAATTTAATCTTATATTTCCATTGATTATTTGTGTGATGAAATAAATTTCAGGTTCACTTTATCACTTATATTCATAATTGCAAAAAGTGATTCAGACTTACTGTATTACTTATATTCATGCATTTGATAATCCTCACACCTTGCATATGGATTACCCAATATATGAATAAAGGGTGATCAACATCATACTTGTCCATCAAAATATATACCTCAAAACCAAGGCATACAGCATATGTATATATATATATATATATATATATATATATGAACTGATATATGTATGTACATAGAGTAATTGCCTTGGCGTAGATGGAAACTTGATGTGCGATGGTGTCATGCAATGTTTAAGAACTGGGAATGACTAGTTGTACTCTCCACATTTGTAGAATGGCTATATGATAAATAATAATGTTTCTTACATGTCAAGATCGTTGATACACATGAATATTGAAATTATAAAAGCCTAAGCCTCCTTTTTAGGTGGAAAAACAATGCTTGTTGTTCGATTGTTTCATTTTTAAGTTTTCCTTCCTTTTTTTGGGGGGGGGGGGGGTGGAGGCAACATTGGAGGACATATCCTTGCTCTATACTTGTATTTTTGGGTACAGTTCATGTCATGGAGTAAACAGGTTGAAGTTTATCTGAAAAAAGATATCCCAAGTTGGCATTAATTTGACTAAGATATTTTTTCTTTTTCCTCCAATGTAATACCTGTTCAATTCCATATAGAATAATTCTTATAAGATACATTTTTGTGATGGTAAAATATCTTAGAATGCATACATTATTTACTGTAACAAATTATTTTGAAGATTGAAAACACATAGGCAAAAGATATCTTTCATGAAATCAACAAATTTATTGCATACATACAATAAAAGTGTATGTAACAAAATAGTACTTTCTTATTAAGAGCATAAATTTCCGGCTGCAGAACACAATGTCTGATTATTTGTAAACGAAGCATATCAAATTATGATAATTACCTTTCCATGCTTTATTTCGTTCAGTTTGATTTGAAAGCATGTTTTAAAATCATTTATTTGTTTTCCTTCTATTTAGGCTATCTTTGTAAAAGTAACAAGTCTGCAACATAGATTTACTGCGTTTGAAATGATCCAAACACTGAAGAGGTTCTTCTGATTGGTGATGTCTCTTGAAAATTATTTTTGTCTTCTCTATGAGTAGAAAAATTACCTCTTTTGGTAAACTTTCACTTTCTGTTCTGCAAACTTCTTCAAACTTATGTCATAGCTGGCGCTGTTGCTGATGCAGCTTTCAGCACAGCAAGAGAAAGCTTACCAAAACAGATAATTTTTCTACTCGTAATGAACTGATTTTTGATGATCCAAATATACGTAAGAAAACTAATATTTTTCAAGAAGATTAACAACTACTGATTAACATTTTTAGAGAAAAAGAATAACGTGCCACTTATGAGTTCCTTCTATAACACAATGATTAACAAATTATTCATATATATATACACATTCATTGCTTTAGGTGACACATATTCATTTCAGAATAGTTTTTAAAACCAATATGTGAAACAGACCTGGAAGCTCGAGTAATGCACAATTACTACCCCTCCCCTCCCCTCCCCTACCCCATCAAGTTCAATATTTCTGCTATTTTGTGTAAAATGCCACATTTATGTAGAAAATTTAAGATGCATACAAATGACATCTCTCAATTTATATTTAAAATGAGCAATCTTATTTGCGATAAAAATTAATTTTAAAAAATAAGAAGACAAAAACAAATTAGAACTGTGTTAATCTTATGCTGGATATGCCACTTTGTGTTGATAAAGTTGGTAATAATGTTGGCTGATTAATTATACCCAATGTCTTTTCTTTCTGCCAAAACCTTTCTAATCTATATAATGCCACTGACAGAAATGCATACCCTCAAATACTGTATATTCATAAATAAACATACACTTAAACAAAAATCCACATACAAAATTTATTTATGTATATATTTTCATTAAATTTGTAATGGAAAAATTAATCTTTTGCCAACAAAATGACATCTTTTGAGTCAAAAGTATGTTCCAAGAAGGACATAGAATGTGCCAATTTGATTTGATTTTTTTTTTTTTTTTTTTTTGCGTGCTGGTTACTTTAACAACAAAAATATTTGAAGGTATACTACTCATTTGGAACGGTTTGTAATTTCTTAGACATTTGTAACGGTAATCTGATATATAATGGAAACTGCCATTCTTTGTTGCTGAAAGATCCAACCTATACTATACTTGTTACGGCATCCGACGTAAAGGAAGTCATTTATTGGCAGGATCCATAATTTGAATATAATTGATATATTTTAAATCGGTACTAACTTGATCTTTATAACTTCCCTTACTTCCTGCCTTAGAATGTGGATGTTCTTTCGATTTGAACACAGCCTACACTCCGATATAAGTAAATATATTACATGCATCGTCTGCTAAGAGGCAGAAGGTTGTAAATGATATGCTAAATTAAATTATTTAACATTCTTCTGGTTCTTATCAGATGTTATGTCTGTTTTTGTGTATCGCTATATGATGACCGATTCCTGCGCATTTTTAATAATAAAATCGTCGCATCTGTAAATAGGGATATATTTTCCCGCTTTATATATTCTTAGAAGATGTAAGAGAACCCCTGTCAGAAGTTAAACCAATCAAAAACCCTTAGCTCTGACGACCCTGACCCTTGGGACCGGTTAGATGATGCAACACAAGTCCTTGCTGGGAATATTTCATCCAGTGGGCCACCGGGTACCCCATAAACATCCACATCATCGTTCGTACCTCGGCTTTCTAAGATCGTATTTGCGTTATTCTCCCTGTTCTTTACATCGGCGGCACTTTTATGTTTAGAAAAATCATTTTCTTTTCGTTTGTTGATTTGCTTCCTCGTCTTTTCATTGATTCCTTGGTCTGTTCTTGGTGTTTTCTTTATGACATAGGTGTCATTCTCTACAAGTAGACTTGTCTGATCGCTCTGAATCTGCACAGGATTATCGGAGCTAATCGCCTCCTGATCGTCCCCTCGTAACCTCCGAACCAGATTGACTAAGCGATTGTTGACGTCACGAAACATGACTAAATAATGACCATCGGAACATAGATGAGATGATACACGGAGGTTGTATCTAGAGATATGTCCTTACGGTTTTAATTCCTGCCAAGATATTGTTTGTCACCTCTGTTTGTAAGGGTTGAAGCTGAAAGCCACGGGGAGATATCAATAAGAAGATGCATGCATGGGTCGTCTTGTAAGAAGCTGATTCTGAAAGATTAATTCAAATTAAAATATGAAAACGGGTACGATCAAAAATTTAAAGGGCTCTTTATATTTTGAGGTTGCATTTCAGTGGTGATGATTTTAATAGAAAGTTTCTCGAAAATTGCAGAGCAGTCTGATCTACGTTAGTGTCATTAACATAAAATGTTTAGCTTTTGATATAGCAGTGAGTAAATGATCTCTCACCCCTATATTATACTTTCTTTCTTGATATGCCCTAGTAGTTATTAGGCATGTCAAAGAAGGTAATTGCTAAAACTCGTAGATATATATCTTCAAACTAATATCTTAAACAGGCGATTGCAAGTTTAAAGTACCGGTATGAGGATAATTCAAAACAGAGTTTGTATATACCCCTACCGGGATATTTTCAATTCATTTGCCCAACTAAGAAAATACAAAAACACCCCTGATAGATCCTGAAAGGCGGTATAACCGTTCGCTAGTCTTCTTGCCAAAACCTTGGTATACACAACAGTAAATGTATATGTCTCTATATTAATAATCAAATAATGGAACTTAACTATGCATAATGTTAGGATATACTTGGTTTAATACCTATGTCATCCATAATGCACTATATTATATATACACGGTAAATCTACAATCTACTTATTTCTTGAGTGTAGACCCATATGCACACTAAACCTAGCTGACCAGACTCTCCGGTGCCAGCACGACCAATATTCATATTCGACATTAATATGTCTCGGAGTATAAAATAAGCAGCAATTAATTTTGAGATATGGGTCAAAATACAAACGCCCGTCTGAAACAAGGACTGTCGATCATTTGGACTCCATTTATATTTTTATCAATATTATGGCCCATTACTTTTAAACTACGACAACGCTTGAGAAAACTATAGTTAATTATGATGACCAATTTCTGTTGAAAGAAACACATGAAATAACATGAGACATTCAATGCAACCTACCTTTAGCTGATAGGTCAACATTTAGACGATCACCTCCTTTCCCATGGACTCTAAACCATAAATAAAACGTAGGGAGTACTCTTGAGCTCTGTGCGATGTAAGGTAGAAGTATAAAGGAACATAGTTTGTTTACGTGTAGTCTGCTGAATCTTGTGTAGGCCCTACACATGCTCAAAACCCAATTTTTGTAGAGAACCTATTGTCCCCGTAACGGTTCGCAGACTGTCAATAATACTCGAATCTAACAATTGAATCTATCACCATTCAAACATAATAGAAGTACGTCCACATGGGTCGATCAGAGTACTGATATCTCCAAGAGTTATGATTCGCACTTTCATGCACTAACTGCATTACATTTTCATTGAAACTTTTATAACGCTTTTTGTGCAAATTAACACATGATTGCTGAATTATCATTTTTGTCGACTATAATATATATCCTGGTTTTGGAACTATGATTAAGAAAGGCGGAAGCACGACCTGGTGACTTTGCACTTTGTTCGGTTCTAATGGACTTTGTGCCCCTGGCCATGCATGAAAGCAAATATATTAGTATGAGTGGCCATGATGCACAGTACATAGGGTGATCTGATAGAGACACTTAGCTTATCGTTAAAAATGTCAACCACAAATGCACATTAATATTAGGAGATATTATTTTTTTTATTTTAAATTCGTATTCATGCAAATCTGTTTGGCTACCCAAGGCAAGCTTCGGCTACTGATAGCTCACAGAACTGTGGTATCGCTCTCTTCTTCCCCTCACCTCCAGTATCAGTGTTTCATTCTGCCACTGTTTGTTGTTTTGTTGTTTTGTTGTTTGATTGGGTTTTAAGGCAATTCAGTCAAAATTAACTATTTATGCCTAATGATACTGTGATACCCGGGGTGCCTTTTATCTACCCCTGCTCTAAGATTGCCGAAAGTGATTTCTTTATAATTTATCCTTGTATTAAGTGTCTCCATCCTTCAAAAAACAAACCTAATAAAACAAAACAAAAACAAAAACATAAATACATGCAAGTCAAATAATGTCAGAGAAATCGTGAAGTGTAATTAATGTTATTCAGCGAGGTGTCCGAATGTAGATCAATACTGTCACAGTACTACTTCTTGCATGCGACAAAGAACTAATATCTAATCATTTTCTAAAGTTCAATGTTATAATTAAAACAATTAAATACACATGTATATTCCACTCTGCATGGACGAAAAAGGAAAGGAATTGTTCATGTATATATTTATGAACCAAAATTAAACTTCATCTTTCAGTCGGAAGTGAGAGAAAGGTTAGTGTTCAAGTTATACAGTATGTTAGGGTTAATTGTAAATGACTAAATAAAAAATAGAGGATGATAAAAATGGGTGTACCGAGAGTGTATAGAGTATGAGGCATCGTTACTCGACGACCAAAAGAAAAGAGAATGTGAGACAGGCGGACCGAACAAAACGAGTTAAGTAGAAAATAAAGCAATTATGAAAAGAAAATTTTTCTTCAAGTATCGTTAAATATTCTTATACGGATTCAGAAACAAAGTTACTTACGGTACGTCAAAATCTCACAACAAATAACACGATATCCATCAACTATTTGAATATAAAGGAGGTTTATTTGTATCGTTGTGGTACATTGTGCTAGTACTATATTTTGTTACACTGCATCTTTCAAGGAATTTTTCTTCATCAGGTAGATGATGAAGACGGTTATATGAAAACGACGATGACAAGGAAAACGACTGTTCTTTCACTCCATAGACAATTTGAGTACCAAACACCAACACAGCTCTTTCTAACAGCGTATATGAACTATACGATTTCACACTCGGAACTCCCCGTGTAAGTTTGAACGCTTCAGAAGTTTTTCGAAGGTTTTATTGATCTGAAGGTTCTCTAGAGCTTTATCTCAATTATATTTATTATGTCGAACAGCATCAGATTTAAATTTGGTCGGTCATTTACGCAATTTTTTTATCTCAAAAATTATATAAAATGTTAAAACAATGAAATTGGTTCAGTTTCTATATTCTAAATCAAATAATTAACGCTATGTCTTGGAGCCGTATCATCTTGAGTATGCACTCGTCGAGCAAGAATATTTTCAGCCACTATATTTATATGCATTATCATACGCATATTATTGTTATTATCAGTATTGTTATTATCATTATTATTAGTGTTATTATTAGTATTATAAGTAGTATTATCATTATTACAAATATTGACGGTTTTCTTATACCTTCTTTATAATAATATTTCTTCATTTCCAATGTTTGAAAATAAATCAGTGGAGAGGATGGATAAGTTCTCATGCCCATAGCTTTTAATATAGTCAACAATTGTCTTAAATTTCTTACAATACTTTAACACGACACGGGCAGGTCTGTTAATTTTCACTCAAAATTCAGTCAAGAATTCTATTCAACACACAATGAACCTCTCTACTAACAATGGCTTTGTCAGTGTGTTATACACAGCCACTTCAAACCATCTCAGTCTCTTCTAACAACAACCACAATGATATCAAATCAAATAAATGACGAGAATAGAAACAACAGGGCATTCGGGACATAATCTAGAGGACAAAATCGAACGAATTTTCCACTAATGATTTGAACAATCTTTAACTTACTTTGTGCTAAGACTTCACATCATAGGCTATAGCATTTGCTCGTATAGACTCTCTAGAACGCAACGACACTACCACAATACATTAGATTCAGTCGCAAGAAATTTCGTAGCAATTACTTGAAACCTCGTCAATTAAAGAATACCATGTTTAACAAGTTTGAGATGAAACTACTAAATTAATACTACACGTCTTTATTGAAAAGATTGTTATTTTGGGTGACAGACATAATTTCAGCTTGTATATACGTTGTGAATTAATCGAATCATTTTAATATCTGTTAAATATGTTCTGCTTGTGAGCGAATTGGAAGAGGTTTAATGAAAACGAAGGCCAACAAATATACAAGAAGGACAAACTTTATCTTTGACATAGTCGTATACGATTCAATATCTCGATTCATTTTTTTGTAACGTTTCTTTCACCTTTTCTTTCCAGTATTATATTATATATCTTTCAACTGTATACTCTACAGCACGGCTATACCTGCTTACAGAACAGTGGATACACGCCTTTAAAGCTAACATAATCATTTCTATTGTTATTATCATCATTATAGTAAACTTGCATTAGTAAAATTATATTCAGCGCAGTTCACTATAGAGTTTGCAACAACTATGAATAGAAGGTCGGGGTACAATATCGACATTATATGATTATGCTGTATAAATATTCTCACCAATTATTCTTGTATAGCATATGTTGGCTTTATACAATGGCATACATTAATTTCAATTTCTGTTATGGCATTGCATTGTTAGGTAAGACAAGTACAGAATATAACTGTTAAATATGAAAGATTCTGCGGGTATTTTTTTCCTCCATTTTATTTGCGAGAAATTTTGTGTATACCCACTCTAGTCTAAGTAATGGCAACGTGTGAAGGAAGAATAGAAATATACAAGCTTATATTATGTCACTCCAAATTATTTCATCTGTAATATTCGGCATACCTTCGACGCTGTCATTTAGCAAAAAATAAGTCAAAGTAAATATAAATTGGACAAAATTATAGCTTGAACGTTAATTAACACGTGCGAGGTCCACAGCAACACCCGTCTTGCAACAAGCAGTATTACGTATTTACAATGATGCAATCGTAAACAACAAAAAATAGTATAATTTTGAACAAAAATAGCAATATAATTTTGAACAAATCGTATCTGTACAGATCTTCGCTGGTACCGCTAGTGGAGGGAGAATCCATGATATCTCATTATGTTTCTAATTTCTTTTCTACCAACATAAAACTTAAAGGCCACACACCCTTTACTTTTCATTATCGTGACTCGGCTGTAAGAGTATTCAAAAATATTTATTACAAAAAACAATATTTTCAATCGAAATAAGAGTGTTTAGATTTTGCATAAATTTTCCCTTTTTTTCTCTCTAAAATATTAGAACGATTTAAGAAAAACAATGATCAGTTCGATGTTTTTTGTTTGTTAAAGCTTTTATAGAACGAAGGGTAAAAAGTAAACTATAATATTTGACCATAACTATGTTGATTATTGCATAATGACTTTGCGGATTTCCGTCACAGCCCACTTCTACCAAAAGTATTTACAAACTATTTTATACCTTATGGTAGAGGTCACTGTGCCTCAGCTAATCTTTAAAGCATTTTTTACCTGCTGAACTTACATTGCTAATTACTGAAAACACTCTTCACAAAACCCCATAATGCCTGTACCCGTTCTTACCGTGCATTCATCCATTTAACAACGGTTTGCACTATGCCATATCATATTTTAATCCACCGACTACCTACACAAAACTAATCCCCCTTCTAAACACTTTTTTATCCAGCATAGTTTCCTCCCGGATTAAGCAATCAAGCAAATGAAGAAAATTAAGATCCATCATCTAATGACCAAGCATATTGATGAAAACATACATACTTATTTGCTGCTGGACGGTTATTATTGTCACATAATCATTTCCAATGAAAATGCGAGAAAGATCGTTGCAATTCAATACTAAAAGCCATACAATTTGTATTGTATAATCATCAACGTAATAAATACTAACAACGATACATAACATCAAAACTCAATAAGATATTTCAAAATACTAGGTCTAGACAAAGAATGGCAAAGATAACTCATAACATAATCATCGCACCTTAAATCAGTTTGCACCGTATACAACAAGACAAAAATAATGCAAATTAATTCTATAAATAATCAATTATCGCTTTTGATTGAACAATGTGCACATCGCATAACTAGTCTGATGTCTCCTTTTATATACTTCTTTCTTTTCTCCACTCATTTCGAGTGATGCTATCCGTAAGAATGGCTTCTTAGTGCCCCACCAGGGCAGGGCCAATGATCATACTCCTTCTTGTTTGCGATCCCCTCCAAAAGTAGGCAAAGAAACGATTTTTTTTTTCGCGGCGCTTTTTAATCATATTGTCTGAAGAATAAAAAAGAATGGAAGAAAATGCACAATTGACATGAAAGATCGAGTCAGACCTGCACAAAAATGGAACGAGTGGTTCAAATTAGCTGTACCAGTTTTTGATAAAATAGATGAAATATTTCCTGCTTGTTTTAAAGTGATCACAACCAAAGGGTGAAGACAAATAGTTATTGAGTATACAGAGTTTGTGATATTTGAATATTAAGTACATCAAGCCTGCAGAATATGACATGTACATGTATATATAGATATGTTTTATCGCTGCATGTTTTCTTATACTTTAGGAAGAATTTGTTTACATCATAATTATATGGAACTTTTTTCCAATTTGTTTGTCATCGTAAGAATATAATCTTCCCAAAATCGTTTACAATCCTTATATAGATGCCTTCTTTCTTTCTTTCTTCACACACTAACCCTTGTAATGTTAAATCAGAATATAGTCCCTAGTCACGCGACGCACACGTTGTCAAATGATGGACTCGTTGAGAGCATTGATGTCGACATCTCGAGCGTCGATCACCCCATCGACATCCCGATCCCGACATTCCTTCACGTCGTCTGGTACTTGACGTCCATCGCTGCTCCCAGGGCCTTGGTAATCATCGTAATGATACCCATTGTGGTAGTTACTATTCCTCTCGTGCGTTGAATGATAGTTACCTCCTCTTTCCTGACTACTCGATCGATGGTAGTTCCCACCATCACCTCCACCACCAATATTTTTACCCCCTCCACCACCACCACCGCTACCACTGCCGGCACTACTACCAGCCCTTTCATGTCCCGAGCTATAGTTTCCTTCTCTTTCAAGAGACTGATTATTTCGAAGTCTCCCTTGCTGACGGTCGCTCGCTAGTCGCTTTCGTTCTTCCGTCGACTTGCTAAGCCTGCGGTGTACTTCCGGTTCACCACTGTACTTGTTGCCATGATTACTGCCGCGCGTGGCCGACTGCCCCCGTCGAGTAACGGCTTCGTAGTCAGCTTGAGGTATTTGTGGTGTGTTGGGAATGGATGCATAGTGGTCGTACTGCGAGTCTTCATGACTCAATGTTCTGTGTATCACTCTAGGAGTAGATCCTTCATTTCTACTGCTACTTCTACTTCTACTTCGTTTTTCTTCCAAGCCATGATTGTTACTAGAAGAAGCGTGGCCATTTCCACCACCACTTTTGCTCACTTTGCTCAAACTTCCATTGTTGGTACCGGTTTTGCCTGGTGTTTCTCCACGCTTCTTGTTGAGACTGCTTGTTATGACTTCGTCATCTTCTGTAAACACCTTGTTCGGCATGTTGGTAAACGCCATCTGTTGGCGTGATAATCTATGGAAGATGTGAAAACACCACGGGGATTAATTTCACATGCTTTTTACAATCTCAACTACCTGTTCGTTACTATAGAAAAAACTTTGAATTAATTTATCACAACACGTTAGTTTGTCACTCAAAATATCGAGAGATAAAGTCCCATACAGAATCTGTAAGCAGGATATTAGATCAAAATTTACGAAAAAAATCTTGTTATTAAAAGAAGAAACACCAAGATAAGACATAATATCAGTCCTGCAAAGTATTATTATTATTATTTTTTTTTTTTTACTATGAAAGAACTTTTAACCATCAACTCATTGTGACAACACTTTGTGAAGTTTTAGCAAGAAGACACAGTGTACCTTGGTCTATAATCATCTATACTCACTTGACTTTACTAGCCGAACCTAGCCAGGGTTTTCCCTTCTGCTTCGCCGCAGCATTTGTATAAGGGATATCTGGATGACGGGTTGAGAAGTGACGATCACGAACTATGGGTAAGCTGACTTCATAAAGCTCGTCTACGACCATGAAGCTTGTCTAAAAATAAATAAATAAACCATAAAAATAAGTTATAAACATATATTCTGATTGACACATGGACTCGTCTTACGAACCCGCAACATCCCATTAAAAGATTAAGCATACATCCAGTATTAAGAGGGCATGGACGCTTAAAGCATTATACGGGTCCTTCAAGTTTAGAGGCTTGTTCACACAAAACGCGGGAAACAATCAAGGTGTACCTCATTATGTGAACGAGCCTTTTTTTTTAAAGCTGTCTATGTATATAAGAACCCCTTTATAAGCCCACTGATGTTGTTTTTTTTTCTCCATAAACCTTATTGCATTAACTCTCATCTTACAGGAATGCCCTGTTTATCGACCTTGAACGTCCTTACATTGAGAAGGCGACAATCCTCCCAAATCCCCCTCCCAAGCTAATAACGCACATCTGTGATAGCCGTAAGAAGCCAGTCATCACGCCATTACATGGGAGAAGAGTGTAGCCTTGCTTTTAAATTACATTGCAAGCGCTGCATGCTTGCACGGACCATAACACCAAGAGCTCTAAAGGATTCCCCGTATTACAGGGGTATAAACCTAGTCATTCCCAATGACGTCGTAAAGTGTAATGTTGACGAAAGTGCAGCCAAAGAGTACGTAACATAAACATCATTAAAACTCTTTTTTAGACGTGCCTTGGATGCGATGCAAAATATATGTAATGTTTCAATTTAACACGGAATTCCATGACTATCGCAGAAGCGTTGCGAAATATACAATCAACTATTGTAAAGCAATACAATCTCCATGACGCCACAATATTGTTATTCGGGAAACACAATTCTCTTGTATTGTACATTAATACACTGGTGACAGGCAATCATTTCGTGTTCTTTTTTTTAATCCACAACGTACATGATAATAAGAATAATTGATTACATAATTATGAACACAATAACAGAAGCATAACATTGACTTGTAAATAGAAGTATAATATATCAGTAAAATATTTGAGGGATTTTCAGATTAAACAGATGCCGTAAGATGTGTTGATTTTAGGGTAAAAAACGAATGGGTATAGTGGTGAGCCAGGCTTCCACTACTTCAGGGCGTGACGACCATCCCTTCCTGACGCGCGCTGGCTCCAGCTGATAGCATCCATGCAGTATGGGCCCCTATATCCAGGGGGTTCGGACCCCCTACTCACTGCTTTTGCGATCACCCAACGTAAAAGGAAAGGTTATATTATTATTATCTGGAGGCCTTCCTGCTGCCTTTCTAGGACCACCTCAAATTAACTGTAACGGCTGGGGCCAGATAAAGCATTTTGTAATCAACCTTAACTGTTGTTGTTGCTGTTGTTTTTATTATTAGTAGTACATTCTTTAGTATTATTATTATTATTACCATTATTATTATCATTATTATCATCACCATTATTATTTATTCCTCAATGGGATAGGCCTATTAAACAAATGAGTAAGGACAAATAAAACACTTGCACAGGCAAGAAGATGTACCTTGACATTTAATTTACATACAGTTAAATCTTTATTACCGAGGCTTACCCAGAGGACAAAATAAAAGTTCCATCCTGCTAAAGGATAACAAGCTTCACATCCTTCTTGATGACTTCATGATACATTTTTAAAGGATCTTTTGGGGGCATGAGTAGATCGAATTGAAATGCCATTAAGCACTATCTTGTTTGTCTACCGCCACAATGTATGATGAATACAAAATTATGTCTTTTACAAGAATGCAACGTATGCGTTGTATAAGAGTGCGACGCAGTCTTAAATGTCAATACTGATGTTGATTTCAATAACCATTTCTCTATCCATTTCCGTATTAGACCCTGGCGTAATACTAATTACTGAAATTCCGTGATGATATAGAAATAGTCTTGCTTGTCACTTTGCATTGTGACAGCTTGAATGATGATGACCATTAGTCAGGATTGGACAAACGTAAAGAGACAGACATAATTACAAGAAGCCGGATCAGAATTATGATACAAGAAAACATTCATATTTCAGAATAAAAGGAGTAATAAATAGGTGAATTTTTATAGAGCATCTATACATACTACACATCAATTCAGTAAGTTGTTTTTCTCCTCCCCTTGCGTTTTATTTGTATAGTTATGCTAACAGCAGATGAAGCGAATTAAAACAGAATTTATGAAGTACATTAGCATCTAAATAACCGAATAAGTAAATGAATGAATAGATGGATAAAGTACAAACGTTTAAATAAATAAATAAGTAAAGAAAGAAATAAACAAGAGAAGAAAAGGGTAATGTGTGATAATACTGTGACGGTATGAAAAAACTTACTGAACATGAACTTAGAACATACTTATGTTTCTTACATCACGATTTCTGATGTGAATGACCAAATAATATAACAAGTGCTGACAGAAGTCAAACAATGTGATTACCTCAATATTCCTATCAACGATCCAGTTCATGTCAAAATCATCGTCGTCTTCGCCGAACGGGTTCATGAGGTTCTCCGCCACCTGGAGTAGGGAGGAAACGTCGAAATACCTTAAGCAAACGGACCCCAAACTGTCTGTCAGATGATAATTATTCTTTGAAAATGAATTATAAGACTGATATTTATAAAAGTACCATACCATATAGATTAATCTACAAATTTGAACATTTAATATTTCACAAGTAAAATATTACCACGTAAGCCTAACACGACTAGATACAAACACAAATCTGTACATGGGGCCGTGTCTCCTTCGATCTTTCTATATTCATACTCAACTTCTTTCTCTATAAGCCGTTCCTCTGCATACACAGGTTGTATTCTTTTATCACAGACTGACTGATTAATAGGTGTTACAGATGTAACAAACAAACTATTAAAAAAACAAAAAACACGTTTCGTTTGTGTCAAATTTTAGAAAATGGGACCTTAAGGCTCGTTTAGATAGATATATGACTCGGTAAACCGCCGCGGCCTTTGTTTACGTGTAAATGATTAATAGAATGACAACTGGGCGCAACAAAGATGTGTCATAAGGAACGAATATACTTTACGTCATCATTAAAACAAAAACCCGACATATTATCTGAACAAGGCTGATTCCTAACCTTTAACCATCCAACATAGAAGACGAATTCTAAGATGGTGAACCCTGGCACATAGACATCAATGGTATGCCCGTCGTATCCCATCAACGGGTCCAAATACTGGCGACCGAAAAGACAAGCTAGGAAGTAACTATATGTTGCTATTGTAACAACCTGTAGAAGAAAAAAAGAACTATTTATGGAAGCAAGTTATATCTGCTTATATGATAGATATTCAATACGACAAGATTGCAACTCAAATCGTATATAATTTGGAAATACATTGCAAAACTGTAACTTTGTGAGACTACGAGTCATTGTCGGCAACAAGGGAGATAGACGGGACTCCTCTTATTCCTTTTGATGTATCAACAAGTTTAAAACCTTCCTGTAATTTGTTCATGATAAATCCACTATTGATCGTTTCCGCCTTTCACAACACATAAAATTAGACAAATTAAAATACTGAATGAATGGGAATACACATTATATCTACAACAGAGGAGTATCTAACATACAGTGAAGCCTCTCCTCTTATTCCTTTTGATGTATCAACAAGTTTAAAACCTTCCTGTAATTTGTTCATGATAAATCCACTATTGATCGTTTCCGCCTTTCACAACACATAAAATTAGACAAATTAAAATACTGAATGAATGGGAATACACATTATATCTACAACAGAGGAGTATCTAACATACAGTGAAGCCAGCGTACCCGCCCCCACCCCCACCCCTCCCCCCTCACCACCATGCCGAATCAGGCATATTGAGAAAAAAAAACTAACAATTTGGAATGAGTTTACTACGCATGTTGCTGCCCATAATTATGCACACTACCACCCCCCCCCCCTTCCCCGGATCTCAGCGGAGTAAGTTCATGATTTTAAACGAATTTGTTAAGATTCCATGCATATTACTTTTTGAAAAAATCTTGTCTTTGTGGAGAAAAATATCAAGCATCAGTTGATTGCACTTTGTAAACAACAACAACATATAACATATTAAGGAATATTGCAATACGTCATGCGTATTACATAAACAATCTTTATTCACGCCTCAGAGTAATATATTTTCCATCATCCAGTAATTCGCTTTTATAAAATAAGATATTAGATTTTCTCAATTTAGAAACGTGTCTATTTATCTCTGCATGAAACTGGGTCTGTTGATGCAAAACACCCATTACATTGATACACTTTAAGCTTCGGAGCATCAAAACGTAGAAAAAAATGTTGCCATAGCAATGAATTGCAATATTTTCATATTACGTAGATTGCATTATTGGCAACGGAGATGGAAATGACAGTATTCCACACAACTCATTTGTATAATCTCAAAACGTATCGCATCACAAATAGAAAGAAGAATCTAAATAAAGACGGACGATGTTTCTTTTTATCTACTGTACTATATTGTACTGTATTCATCTTGTACTAAACAAGATACAAATATAGGTAATGTAAAGTGTTGGTTGGCCTTTTATTTATGACGGAATCAATTCATTTTCTAAAAGTCAGCCTTACGATTACATGTGCTTCCTTGTAAATCTTTTGTTTATGTTACATATTGTAACGTTCTGTTTTGATTAGTTATTTCCTTTCTGTTCTATGTGTCTGTGCATGGTGCGCAGTCTGAATGGATTTGAATAACATTAGTAATGTCGTCGTGGCCTTCAGAACACAAATTCACAAGTAATACATTCTAATCACAGGGTGGAAGCGTTTTCTGCAGTCTATTCAGGACTTCAAAATGACCATTATGCCCTAGCGATTGGTATATATATGAAAGTAGTATTCAGTTTAGTAATTGGGAAAAAAACCTTCACCCATGTTTGGTTTGAGTAGAAAAGAAAAACAGAGTAAGATATTTATGTAAGTCCTCGATAATAATAAAGAATGCTGATAAGAACATCATAGTTTTATCATTATGAAACATATTTTGCATTCAATTGTATAGGACGAAATTATGGATAAAGAGAAATATATATAACTTGCATACCTGAGTATAAACTAGTGGGACTACAATCCAGTCGTAACCATAGAGCTCGAAACATTTATTCTGGAAGTTGTTCAGCTCCTGCAAAAAAAGAACAGAAATATAAAATGCAGGAAGGAATTAACAGTGACATGCAGTGAACAGTTTTTATAGCGAGAAAGCTTCTAAATAAAAAGTGGATGATTCAGGTATGAGTCACATTCATGTTTCTCAGATGAGCATTAAGATCATCCAGGCTCACATCCAGGGGCTCATGACCAATAATGTTTTAAGCATTCTCTTTGTGAAGAAGAGATACGGCGTCGATAATGGTGGAATGAAATACGCTTGGGGATGAAGTGCGTTTTATCAATGAAATGTGTCACGTATCTGAATGAATCAGGTATCTGGATGGAGAATTATAATGACGTTCTCAATTTCAAGGATCTTCCGCTTGGCAGGGTGACTAATCAGCACCAGTTTGTAAGAGAATATCCTATTGAAACGTGACAAAGACACTAAATTTGGAACCAGATGGAAATGAAAAAAAGGCAAAATTTAGTAATAAATGCTCACTTGAACAATCTTCTTAAAAAAAGTGGTTTACTCTGTACAGGTATATATCTCTTTCCTTTCTTCTTTATCACCTTCTTCATAATCGTCTTCTCTTTTCTTTATCAGTTTCAAATTTCTCCTCACACATTTTGCCTTCTTTCTCTCTCTCTCTCTCTCCCCTCTCTCATCCTCCTGATACTACCCTCTTCGTCCCTTCTCCTCTCTTCTTTCTATAAATCTTCATCTTCCTCATGCTCTTTCTCTCGATTCTTATTTTATCATCTGTCTTTATCTAAGACCCTTCTCGTCTTCTCAATTGCACCGTTTGTCATATTCCAATTTGGACGTGACCCACTTTCGTTCCATTCTCCATCAACGTCTAATCAAATGAATACAAATAGGGTACAGATTCAGATTTCAAAAGCGTCAAATGCCTACAAGAGAAAATAGGAACGGGTGATAAATCAAGACGTGTGGCAAGTATGCTTTGGAAAACTTGGAGTGGTTACAAATACCTTGCTATAAGAACAGATCACAGAGACTGTGAAATTGTTAGAGCAATACAGCTTTCAAATGGGATGTAGTGTTTATATTTTTTTACCGGCTTTTAAGTGTAACAAAATAATGTGCATACAAAATAATATAAGCCTTTTTGGCGGTTTTGCATAATAAAAGAAAAACCGCTGCATTTGGAACTTTGTATCATTTTCATTTTTTAAGGTGTCGAAACCAAGGGCGGGGTCTAGGATTTTGTGAAAAGAATTGAAAATTCTGAAACACACACAATTTTTTTTTTTTCAGGTATACTTTAGCTCTAACATTATTTTGATGGGATAAAGACATACCTAAAGGTATGCATGATGTTCATTGGAGGTCTCTGGCCGTTTGTACCCTATAATTCAGTATCGTAATAATAACACACATGGCTGTCTCTCGTATGTGCAACATTGGTAGTGATATAGAGTCTTACAAAATCAGTCGACGAATTTTGTCTACATGACGAAATATTTTTTCTGATGTCACAACATTGAGAAAATATTCTTGTACCTATCATGTTTATGGATTCTGAAAGAAAGGCAAAGAGTAAAGCAACAGCAACAAATACCTTATTCCCCATTGATCTATTTTTGAGGTTACGAAGAAAAATAAGGTTGTGCAAAAAATACATTTCTGATACCAAATCAGCCAGGGGTTACTGCATGCATGCGATCCAACATGAAATATGCTACCACGTAAGAGGCGCCTCCAGTGAAATAATGGTGGGGCAGAGTTTGGAATGTGCCCATGTTGATCCCGAACGTGCCCCTGATGGCAACACGCTCATCTATTTCATGTCCCCTAATAGCGAGCATCGCCCTTCGCCTAATTGCATCTCTGCTGTCGATATTTGAACCGAATCGAACCAATTACAGATGCGATAGAAAATATTCTTGCCCTAGGTGCTCCTTGGTTGGTATCACGGGTGACGGGAATGGGTGCAAGAGGGTGAGATAAATTAATGAGAGATATGAAAGAAGACAGTGATGCGGGAATAAAGGGCAGTAAAGATGCAACGGGAGAGGAAACGGTGAAAGAGTGAAGAAGAAGGAAAGAGGGGGCAGACAACGAAGGGGAGTGACAGATTCGAGAGGGAATCATAGGAAAGGGAAAGAAGATGATAATGGAAAATCTGACAAATTACTTATTGATCGGTAGGTATAAATTAGAAATAGCTATCCAGGAGACCTCCGAAGATATTTTAATCAGCATTATGAAATTTGAACAAAGAGAAACATAATAAAATACAAATTAAATAAAAACAAATGAAATCGGGAAGTAACATGCAAGAGACAGCCGAAACTGTATAAGCTCTATACAGATGCTGAGATAAGGAGACTATGAGACATAGACAGGACTGCATACGGATAGAGTACATTATAAATGTAAGAAATCGTTGGCAAAGAAAGCAGTCCCAAGCGAGAGGGGCGCGCGGTGGAGGGAAATGACGCTCAAAGTCAGACAAAAAGCGTGGGTCAGATTTCGGGAAATAAGATTAGGAGCAGGGAATCTCATTTGCACGGTGGGCGAGATGATTTCCATCGGCTATTCACTGCCCACGTATGATCAATGACAGAGCAAATGGTGAAAGGGGAAAGACAGAGGAAAGGAGAGAAGAGGATGGGGTGGGAGAGAAGGAGAATCATCCATCTTACCCTCTCTCACACCAATGGTGTATGGGTGGAGAAGGACACAGAAGGGAAAACAAATAAGAACAAATTTAGAACGGCGTCTCAAATGTTGACAATTTTACCACGTATTTCATGTATAATTGATTTTATGATTATTTTTTGCAGTTTGATAAATATTTATTTCATTTTTCAAGATTAAGAAATACCCAGAAGAAAAGCTTTCAACTCATAGCATGTCCCATAACGTGCGTTTGAATGAATGAATGAATGAATGAATGAAAATTTCGGCATCCGTAAACATTACATTTGCGGTTTAAAACCTTTTAAAATTATGATCACTTATGAGCACTTCAAAGCGTGCGAAAAAGGTAAAAAAAAGTCATCTATTGCGTTCAATATTGTAACCGTAAATAGTGTTCAGTATACACGTATCGTAACATCTTCATGCTAGTTAAGTTATCTTCCTAGTGTCCATTCTACATAGAGCTCTTTTCCTCATTATTTGGAAACTCCGTAAAATATATCGATTAAACAGTGTTACCGAATGTATAAGATATACGGGAAAATATAGGACGCCATTCTACATGCATGTGTCATAATACATTGATAATAGTTTGTCTTCGGGGAAAATCTTTACAGTCAAGGAGCTCAACATGGAGCCCGGAAATTAACTCTTAACATCTTCCAGCCTCCGGTTAAACGTTGCATCCATTTAGAGAGATTTGTTGAGCCTCGCATCCCTTGACAGAACATGATTTATCATCCAAACTCTGGTCTCATTTACCGTATAGTATGAAGTTTTATTGTTTGTTTTTATTTTCCACATGAAACATAAAAATACTTGCATTTTACCCGCCCCCCACTCAGTGTTATTTAGGGTACGCATATGCGTGTTCCAAGCGACCCCCCCCCCCCCTTTCAGCAAAAGTCCGGTGTGTAAAGTCAATACGGTCGACCTTTTTCTTTTGTTATACGAGCCTTTTTCAGCACCCCCCCCCCCCATTTTCAGCAAAAGTCCGGTGTGTAAAGTCAATACCGGTCGACCTTTTTCTTTTGTTACGGACATTTTGGTAACACGCATGGGGTCCGTCCGTTCTCGGAGTGGGGGGGGGGGGGGGGGGGGGGGGGGGGGGCGGGGCATTTTATACGCAGAACATTTTTATATACAAAGGAGGAATTGAAAACAGCTGGATAGCTCAGGGGCATTGATATCTGTATAAAACCTTTAAAAACCTGTTAAAAAAACTTGCGGCGACAAGAGCTATGTGTTTATTGATATTATCATATGCTTTTGACACAGCAGTATTTAACATTGCTCGTTTAGAATCTTTCTTTGTATATTTCTTGAATCATTTAAGTTGGATTTTATTCCTCTTATTCTCTAATTTTTCACATTAAACGACATTAATTTGATGAAACACCATTTAAAAAGGGGGAGGGCTGGAAGAGAAATAAGAGAGGATGGGTGACTCTTTCACAGTCTCCAAAAACTGTATACATGCAGGCTCACACACAGCCACGCTCACTCACACAATCTTGTAAAATTTTAAAAATAGGAAAGGAAAGGAGCTAACGACAATAACGCCCTTTTCTACGATTAACATACGTATGTACAGTATTTTGACTGACGCCATCGTATCCTTATGGTTACTCCACTGCTGGTATGGTCATTTGATTGGCTTCTTTCCACCAGAAGGCTCTAGAGAATAAGATGCCTGTGGCCAATCTTGATTAAAGCATATAACAGGCGACGAGTGACGTATACCCCTCTCTCATGTAACACGTGTTTGATACCAGAGGACTACCTCTTCTTACATATGCTATATTTGACATTTGGGGTGAGATTTAAAATACGAAATATGGAGACAGTGGTGTGTTTCAACCTTGCGTTCTCGTATGGAATATGAATTCAAAGCCATGTAATCTGAGTGACATGAAATGCAATATTGGGAGATACAAAGATAACATGATTACCATACTCAAGAATGTCTCGATACATTCGATGTTATTCATAAATAAAACATTTTGAATACAAAAATACACAAAGTAACGTGTGAGACTCGCTTGCCTTCAGCAAAATGATTTGAAGAGTATTAGTATGCATGCCGGCAGTGTGTGAAATAAGGCAAATAATTATGAAAAAGACCAGTTTCAGAGAAGATCAATTTCTCTTTTGTAAGAACTTATGTATTTTTTTTTTTTTACTAATTCAAGAGATCGATGAAAACGGTTCAATAACGGGCAAGTGAGATATAATTCATGCAAAATAATAACAATGTGACTTTTAACAGAAAAGAAAAGAGATATGAGAGAAAGAGAAGAGGAATAGCGCATGCTAATCACAGAAAACTAAAGAAAACAACATACGACGCGATGAGAGATCAACAGCGGAATGAATAACAAAAACCTATAAAAACAATTGGATTAAGATACCAACGTAGCAAATAAAGGAAAGTTTAAGGAATATAAAGAAAAAAGAAAAATATCGGACAGCACTGATAGAAAGCCCACTAGACTACGAGCTTATACAGTAAGACTTCTGTAGGTCATTCATATTCCTTTGACCATCTTACGGAAATGGAGAACATCTAAGAAGAGGAAGATGTATTTGGCTTGTTATGATTGGCGGAAATTACAGACGACGAGTGACTTCTTTAAGTACAGATGATTTGCGTGGTCAGATGACTGAGTGGAAAGGGGTATCACTGGTTTCTCTTTGAAAGCTTGCCAATCCAATCGATCTTCCGTCATTAGTAAGGTCCATTAAAGTGCTATGGCAAATAACGGGATTGATTCATCATGCACCTTGCAACTTATTCCTAAAATGCCTAGATTGTCCTCAGCTCTATAGAATTAAGCGAAGGAGGTAATGCGAAGAGATGACGACCCGCCCCATTAACCCAAGTGTGCTTAGCCTACATAGAGCGAGAGTTTATACAGCTCACACAAACATTAAAAGCATTCTCGAATCCGTGGATGAGGCGATTTGGCGCTAACAGAACTGTCAGAGTAAAGCTTCCTAACACACGTTGAAAATTATATGTAACTTGGGAGCTAATCAGGGGCTTTAATATGTCAAGTTATATTCCACGTAGTGTCCTGAATATAATTATGCTTGCTGTGCAGGGGTATTCATTATTAACATAACATCATTCTATACTCGATGAACAAAACATCGCCATTGCCACAGAGCTTGGATTTTTACAAAAAGTAAGTCCTGAATGTATGAGAAAACACAAGTATATTGATTTCAACACATTAGCTTGACCACAAAATACTCCACAGAACAATTGTAGATCACATAACAAATCTTGTAGACCCATTATTAACTTTCACGTATACTTTCTTTGTTAGATGTGAACTTATTATGTTTTAGTTGCAAAGGAACGTAGAATAAATTGTGTCAACATTGCAATCCACGACGAAAATGTATAAGTTTATAAATATAGACTTAGGCCACCCTCGCACAGATATAGAAAAAGAGAAAGAGAGAGAGGGTGAGAGAAGGAGTAAGAGAGAGAGAGAGAGAGAGAGAGAGAGAGGCGCGAAGAGGGGGAAATAGAGGGACGAGATACAGACTGATAGAACGGAAAGAAGGGGGTAATGGTCTAGAAAACGAGAGGCAGAGAATAAGGGAGATTAAAGAGAGGAAATGAACAGTCATGGGCAAAGCGGCACATAGGAGATGTGGATGCAGAGAGAGAGAGAGAGAGAGAGAGAGAGAGAGAGAGAGAGAGATGCAGGGAAGATATCGTAAAGAGAAAGACAGAGACAAGCCCAATATACTTTTCCTCATTCTAGTTTGTGTGTTAGGGCTACTTAAATATGGATGAACTCACATTTAAACAATTAAATCACCACTTTGACAATGCTAACATCTTAATCTGTTCGTATTCTTTCATGATTTAACGTAACCAGATAAAAAAAAAAAAAAAAAAAAAGGGAAGCCTAACTTCTGGTTTCATTTTGTATGTGTGACTGTGGAGGGATATATAATTCCTCAATAATACTCCTATATTTTCATAATATCACTAATTTGACAGGCATAGTTGTCAATTACTAGTTTTCTGTGATGACTGATATGTAAACAAACGAATAATATAATCAGTACCACCAGTGATTTTTCAGCCCTACTTTCGTCAACTATCATCAGTATTCTTCTCCTTCCTCTCTCGCCATTATCATTCACTCTCATTAATATCATCCTCATCACATTGTCATTATGTTTCGTTCCATATTTATCAATATCATCCCCATTACTATCATCACTACCACCAACAACATCATCATGAACAACACTACCATCACCATCACCATGAACAACACTACCAACAACGATTTTACCACCAGCACCAACAGCACCACATCATCATCACCCATATTACCATCATCATCACCCCCACTAGCAACACCATCAACACACAATCACCACCAACATCTTCACAACTATCACCACACCATCACCATCACCACCACTGACCCCAACATGACCACTGCCATCACTACCATCAACCTGTCACAACCACCCCCATCACCACCATCACCACCACCACCACCACCACCACCACCACCACCACCACCACCACCACCCTCACCACCACCACCACCACCACCACCACCACCACCACCACCACCACCACCACCACTACCTGACACGGATACCGTTCATACTTACGTCTACGACTGTTTTCATGGCCGGGTCACTGATAATACGGGCTTGTTTGCGACACATTCTGCATAGATTGACAAACCAAGCACAAGGTACCCAGTATTTAGGATTCTCTGTGCCTAGGTTCTTAAATATATCCTTCTCATCATCAGTCATTAAACCTAAAGAAAAGAAATCATACGAGCAGTTTTTGAAGACACATGACAAAATTAAATTCAATTACCTTCATCAGAACAGACTGCAAAAAAATACCAGTATCTTTATAAAGAAAACTTTTTTTAGTATGAGTCATTGTTAGGTGGTAAGTAATTTAAAAAACGAGCAAATATTATTCATTGTCAAGGGGAAGATAGATTAAGCTTACATAATGTGAATTCTAAACTTATTGATACTGTCTTCTATGTGAATCCTTCATATATTAATTATTAATTGATACCTGTTTGTGAATATGACATCCATAAAGGACTATCGTCAGACTGATCAATCATTCTCATTTCTTTTATCATTTATCATTCTAACAAATCACTCAGTTACACATAAAGAATTGGACACGGTGAGGTAAATGATATACTAGTAGTACATGCATTGTCCTTGACATAATGCCCCACTGGGGAGTAACAAATAATAAAACCAGCTTACACAAAAAACGGCATGTCATTCAAAGCGGAATGTGTTATAGAACGGATATTTGGACGAGAATATTTTCACAAAGAGAATGTTTAATTTCTCTGAAACGAACCTGAAATTACTATTGAGCATGGAGTATGAAAGAATATTATTCCTGAAAATGCCTGCTCAATGGAAAGCAAATACGCCATAAATTATTGAGGTCTGTATGCGTTGCCGGAAGGTGAAGGTGATGTGAATGTATGTGAGGATACCCTAGGGTGCACGTAGCATGTGATTTATGATACAAGCTCAAGATACATGAACATATTTCTTCTTGTTGTATATTCAAACTCCCTTGGAAGATATTTCAGTTTTCATAGTGCCTATAATAGTATATGTGCCCGATGAAAGCAGACTGATGGTTTAAAAGAGGGGGGGGGGGGGTGGAGATATATTTTTGATATGTAATTGACACGTAGACATATTTTCATCTCACGACTTACTCTAAAATTCTTATCCCTATTAGACATGTTTTATTAAATACTAACAATATTTAAGGTCATTAGAAATTTCTTTCTTTATCATAATAATTTGATTTCGATCACCATCACAATATACCAATCCAAATTCCGAATATTATTGGAGGTATTTCATCCCTCCTCCTTATGACGTCATACCTGCCTCTACAAGATGCGCAAGAGTTGGGAACCTTTTCTTAACCCTCTTGCTCCCAGACCTGTATACCAGTATAGCTGCTAGGTTGACATAACGAGCTAATGTTCTCCTTATTATCTTCCCATCCTCGTCGTTCCCAAGTACATGAGCGGAGACATTATACACCACCCGGTCTGGCCAGGGTATCGATTTGAATTGCATCCACCATCTGGGTTTAGGAGAGAAAGAAAAAAAAACATCATGAGTTGTGGCTCTAATAATTTCTTTATTTTAAAGAAAAGTATAAATAGCATTACACGAATTTGCACAAGCACAATATTACAAGCACAATATTACAAGCACAAACATAGCCAGGTCCATGAACCTATTCGGGTTCAAGGCAGGTTTGTACAATGAATCATAGAAAATAAAATACAAATACAAAGATGAAATGATGGAATTTAAATAAAAGTGACTAAGGAGAGAACTATCGTAACATTAGCATGTAAGATTAATAATCTCATTAAATGGCATATTTATAATAACGAGAATCTTCTTTCGTCATTTCTGGCATGTCTATTGATATATTTCACTTGTAGTCATTGGTATTTTTTAGTATTTAATGGATCTATATTTTGATTCCGCAAACTCAAAGGTTTGGTTAGATTTTGTTCAGTGATGCTGCTGCAGCTATGTGACCCCAGTGTATATCATCTAGTTGACATGCACATGCCAAATAGTGTTGACAGTTGGTATTCATCCTACACTGGCATCATCTGACTTAGATAAACAACGAAACTTCAAATAAGTTGTTTTGAACTTTATTCCTACTTATACCATCCAAGAGTAGATCATTTTTAAGCATTGACCATACACTTAGTCCCATCAACTGTCTTTGATGGCGTTCAGTTTAGTCGTCTACCGAAGTAACAAAGTAATGGGCCTCCATATGACATGAGACAACATCTCATAATGACGTAAAGACGACGAGTGAAATGGTTGTTCAAGTTTTCTACCACACATTGAGAGGTCAGAGCCGTCGTCTGAAAAGCTTCTCCTGCTGTTAGGGAGAATGTGAAATGTAAATACCCTGGTCCATCATACGGGTCCCATCTTCATTTGAGGCGTGATGGCTACATCGTCTGAAGGCACGGAATTGTTTCACTTAAAGATAAAGTTGATTTCTGGTCATGCGATTGCATTGTGAAAGAGACTGCCTGGAAGCACCTGGGAGAGATTGATATTGTGACACAAAGTATTGGTGTATACTGTGAGGTCTTGGTATTATCAAAATGATGAGAAATCGATCTTCTTGCTGACAGTAATTATGCGCTGTATACAGGAATGTGTATATGGGGCTTCACAAACGTATGGCATGAAAGTTGCGTCCAAACATTAAATTAAGCTATTACCTGTCATATTCCGAATATATTAGAAACCAAACATTAAATTAAGCTATTACCTGTCATATTCCGAATATATTAGAACATTTGAAGAGTCATCCCTTTCAGAGAAAAAATTTCTATGATGTTCTTCCACACTTACAACAAAAATTGAAAAAGCTCAAAAAATACTTTTTATTTTCACCAGAACTCAATTTTCTCGTTGAAAGTGAGGCATTTAGAGAGAGATCCAATAATAACTGATGGTGACCGACAGAGCTGACTCCTATCTATAATAAATCATTTTTAAATAACCATGTTTCCCTTTTTTATGAAACGAATCGTTTATACTTATGTGATGAAGAGTAAATGCGTGGTAGTTGTGCAGAGCGGTACCATGAAAGAAAGGGAACAAATCAATACCGGTAATACAGCAACTTCTCCGAATGTTGATTGTGCTAAGGGAGCAGCTTTCACAATGAACCCAAATTATCAAACGTGTCACCTTACAACAAAATAAACATTATGGTTCTACGTTGCCATCACATGGTGAACAAAATCATGTTCACTAAACAACAGATGCACAGCCCTGGTTTCACAAAAGGATGTAAATGCCATCTAAAACCTGTCCAAAGGTAATGTGAAAACAGAGGAAAATACGAGACTTTGTGGACAACAGACGCATTCACTAAATAGGACACGTTCGGATTTGGCAATGAAAGACGACATTAAGTGTTCAGGAATCATATTTGTATTTTTGATATGTGAAAATGTGATTTTTTTTGTTGTTGTTGTAATTTTGAAGTTGTTTCCTTCTATTAGAATAGAAAATTAGGACAGAGTACGTGAGGAATTTTGTTCGCGTAGGCGTGAGTGTTAATACTCCAGTAATGCAGCTGGATATGACGGTTGACTCAGTTTCTAACTCGTTGACACATTGTTAGACAACACAATATGGAGGCAAAACGCATAGCCTGACTACAGAAATTGAATAATGATATAAAACGATGGGAGAGAGGAAAGAAAGGTTAAAAGAAGGTAGAAGGAAATAGATGAATTAGAGTTAAATGAATTCGGAAAAAGAGCAGACTTCCGTATTTAAACTGGCAAGGGAGATTGAGAATGCCATGCATGCAGGGAGTAAATAACTTGCGGTGAATGAAGATGCCAATACACATTTCGTGATCCCTCATCCCTAAGAGTGATATGCATATTTGTCAGAAACAATACAGAATCAATAATAGATTCTTTTTTAAAGAATAAACAAAGTATACAATATAATAATTTCAGTTTCGATTTATGTGTTGTTATTTGAAACATATTCGAACTTGGATGGTTGTATGAATGGCGTCTATTAATTCAAACAAACACTGTCTAGAAAACTGGTATTCAAAGTTATGTCAAGTCTACTTAGAAATGAAACTTACCTATCAAAGACAACGGTAACATAGAAACCCAGCACGAAACTTATAGGGAACACTTTGGTGTAGTCGTAAGCGTAAATGGCCAGCTTCTCGAAGCCTATTTTGACATCGTCCGATCCAACGAGCGCGAACCGGTAGATGAGGCTGACGACCGTGTAGAAGAGAATAAAGACAATCATCTCACGCCAGAGGAGTTTGTAGACACTGGCCCGCCATCTTAGAAGTAGGCCTGCAAGTCCACCGAGCTTTATCTGCAAATAGAGTAGGATAGTAGCATCACCAATATAGTTTAAGTAACAATAAGAGTAATTCTTAGATTAACATTAATGTTCAGGTGAGGAACAAAAGTATGTAGATGTTTTTAGCCAGGGGCTCATCTAGCATGGGATGGAGACAGTGTACACCTTCGATTTTCAGTGTGTCTACTACTGTCAGTACGGATGGCCGTCCAGAAACATCGCCCACCATGTTTGTCAATTTTAGACAACGTTCTTGCTAGTGATGGTGGTGGTGGTGATAATATGGTTTGTGCTGGTGCTGCTGCATGTCACCATGGAGCATGTTAACGGTTGTGATGTTGAGGATGATGGTGGTACTTGTGCTGGTACAGGTACAGGCCCTGGTGCTGTATACATCTACTGATGATGCTGTTTGGTGTTGGCGGCCGTTGTGGAGATAGTAATCTTGCTGCTGCTACTGGTTTGCTGGTTATTTTAAATAATTGATTTCGGTAATAATAAATGATCTCGATCATGTGCGGGTAATAGAAACGTGGTAATTGGGCGTGCTTTGGATCTTTAAGAAATTCAAATTTCACCTCTTTCGATAATTAACGTGCATTTACCACTCCAACTAATTTTAACAACGACCCCTCGAATTAATAACTTGATAATTACTTATATTAATCTATAAATATATATTTTCCTCATTAAATTTATGAGTACATGAGCCAACAGTCTTATCACATAAAATCTACTCACAATATCCGCTGGACATGCTCTTATATCCATGACAAGCTACATAGCAATTTATTTTGTTTACCTACCTGATCCATACATCAAGATGGCACGAGATAGCCGAGTTTGTTTTACTATCACCACTAGAGAGTAATTGAGATCCCTGTATATTGCTCAGGAAACGACATTACACAATGACGTCATGGTAAGGAAGACTATGAAAGCTATATTTCACCCTCAATCCAACTGCGACACCCTTACAAGGAACCCCCTAAGGCGAGAAACTGTTAGCAGTGGAAAACTAGTGCATCGAATTGACGAGTATAACAAAAACAGTATTTTTCGGTGTTAGTCGTTCATTAAACATGATACCTATTCATTCTATAATAACACGTGGGTTGTTCCATCTTATAATTAGACAGAAACGCCAAAAATAACTTACATACTTGCGTGTTGACCTGAATTTTAGAAGATACTAAAATATAACATTTCATTGTGGGCGTTTTAAAAATAAATCTTGCAGTGTGAAACAGTGTGACCATACTTATTTTCAATTTTTATCTATATGTTTTCTTTGTTATATCCATGCAGAACTGAGAAGGATTATCAGAGTATAATGTAAATGGATATATTATCTTCTTTCTACTTTAGAGAAAGATATAGGTACCCCAATCAGACTTCCTCTGTTAAGAAAACAAAATATTTACGATAATACATCGTAAAATTTGTTAGAAACTTCTTTCCGGCTTATTTAATGTAGTGTACTACTAAGTTCATTGTTCATATTTCTTCTAGTTTTAAAGCTTTTGATTATACTTGCATATTAGTTCATTTCTACCAATGACTTCAAATGTAGCTTTATATGACCTGAACACGTATATTACTCATCGATATAACATGTTTTTTTCGTCTTATCCATTCTCTTTTCTCTAATCTCTATTCGACTCTCTCTTTCCCCTTCTTTCACTCCAGCCTCCCCCTCTCTCTCTCTCTCTTTCATTTAGTATTAATCTCTCTCTCTCTCTCTCTCTCTCTCTATCCCCTCTCTCTTTCCTTTATTTCCAACATTTTCCATCTGCCTCTTCAAATATTTTCCCAGAATTCAGGGAACATCTGACTAATATTTATTCACCAAAAGGAATACGAGTTAAGAATTGAATTGAATGAGTGGCCTGAGTTGACATGCATAGTGTTTGATTGTTCTATGTACAGCTGACAAGGGTGTCGTGACCTTCAGAGGCAAAGTTGCTGTCAACCCCAAGTGTATCCTTCAAATAATCCAAATGATATTTCTAAGGGTCACATTACATAAGCTACGATATTGCGGAAAATGCAAAGGTTAAAAATGTCATCGGGATTAAGAAGATGATTTCGTTCTGATGAAAAATTCAGATTGCTTCGTAGGCAATCGCTGCAGTCAATACATATATATAACTAATTATTTTATCTGTAGAGGCGCCAGACTTGGCATTATTCCATATTGACTTACTGATCGCCTCAAAGGGCATATCTTTTCCTTCCTCTCTGGGAAAAAAACAAATTCATGAGTAAAGAGTTACATTCATGTCTTGTGAGACTTTGCAACATTCTGTCTTATGCAAATTGAGATCATGTTAATGTCATCATCACGTGGTTTGGAAATCATTGTTCGACCATGAACGACTATGGATGTTATGTCATGAAGCTGAAAGGAAGAGTGTTCTTGGAATCTGTCGAGAGCCTGAAATAATTGGATCTGATAACTGCGTCTTGAGGTGATCTCATATAACACCAGGCCACCTCCCGGTGGGGTTGGGAGATGTTCGACTTTCAAGGTGCCAGATATACAGCGGGCAGACAGATAGTTACGATGATCGACATTAGGGGATGTATTTTGCACATGGCATACAGTGATATGATGTTTTTGTCGTTATTAGACGTTATTAACGACAAAAAGAACTAATGAATAGATTAAAAGCATAGAAAGAGCAGAAATCAAACGAAGCAGCCAAGTAGTCACCTGTTCTGTCACCATGACTTCGTGCAACTCTGATGGAGTTTTCTTTACAAGAATCCTTAAATCATCTTTAAAGACGCTTAAAAATCATATATCAGATTTTTGAAATGTAAGAAGAAATATAGACAGTAACAAACAGGTTTAGAAAAACTGAGAGAAGTGAGAAACACATGAAAAGGCAATTAACAAGACATAATGATTGGAACAGGGGCAGCAACCACCATTTTGAAATGTAGCAGATCTCAGATATCTCTGTCAAGTATATAGGCGAAAAGGATTCTTAATGTTTCACATAATATATTTTCTGAGCGTTATTCGTGCCTAAATTTTTCTCAGAATTTTCTCAATATTAACAGAAATTTCTCACTTTTCAGTGTCGTGTTTTGCAATTATTGGGGGAACAATCTACCTCTGCGTGTCCCCGTAATATCAGCCTATGATAGAAATAAAATGGAATTAATTATAACATAAAATCAATCACTATGTAGATTTTAGATTAAAAAAAAAGGAAAAGTAATAACGTAGCTACTATAGTCTTCACACATCAAGAGTCGCCTGTAAATGTATACTCCTTCGCGGGTGGAAGACATGAAATCATGATGCACATTATGTCGAACATTCATGAACTAAAAGTACATTGTGATCATGTTTAGCAGCAGGTCAGCGCACTTTGTGAAATCATTTGCGTGTGGTTTGTGCATCAGTAATAAATGACAGCCTTGTCCTACTTCTTGCAAGTGTTCACATACCATATACCAAGCTCCAATCAGAGATGCGCTCCTTAATTCACTTACATAGAGCATAGAGGGTACGATGATAAAATAAACAACGATCCTATGTTTACAGCATTTAATGATGCAGAGGCCGGTAACCTTTTTTATAATATGGTACACAATTATTACAATATCTATTCTTAAAAATAACGTCCTTTCAGAAGTTAATATATTTATGCATGGTTATAATATATATTTATATCGTTATATTTGAAACAAGCAAATTCAACGTTGTCGAGTTTTAACATTTCATTTTTGTATAGCTATTTGATAAAATGTACTAGGTAAAAGAGAAAAGTGACGAATTTAAAACATTTCATGCCTGCTGAAACAGCAGGGAGCACAGCCCGAACTAATATTGCGCTCTTGTCACTGTCTCGAATCATGAAAGAGGACTCTCCTTGGAAATGTTGTATCGAAGCCACAGTGAACATTACCATAGTTCCCCCAACCCCCTCTCTCTCTTTCTTCTGAAATTTGAGTCCGTGAGCTTCTTGTGAGAAAACCTAATAATGTTTCGTGAATAGCACATTGTATTCTCAGCGTAGATTGAATGCAGCTCAAACTGGTTTCGGGTTCACCGAATAATATAAGCGGTAACATTAATGTTACGTGACATAGTGTCGGCCACGGTAATAAAATAGCTAGACCTACAACATCTGACTGCATATTACCAAATAACAAACGGAATTAAAGTGTACATACACAATGCCAAAGTAATTTATAAAATTAAACCCCTAAGCTATACAGGTAAAGGAAAAATGAATTTTCTCTCAAGAAAGCAATACGCCAAAACAACATTACTGTCTCTAAGATAATTATTATATAGGGAATTGAGAGTGGGGCTAGGGACGTGTTGGTGACATTAGGACTAAACTTTGAATAACTCTTATAGCTCATATAGAATATTGGTTCTTTTGTTTCTGGGAGTGCTTCATCGAGATAGGCTGCATTTGCCCACGGACCTGATGTAATAGAAGTCCCTTGACTCTCAATTTATCCGTTTTATCAACCCAGCCTTGCAGATGCCTGATGCTGATGCCATTTCACCCATACTTTACACTCTAGATAAAACGGTCCATCCCCGAACAAAATAGAAAGTAGCACTGGTATAATGCAGAAGATACAACCCACACATAGGAAAATAACAACAAAATTGGAACCAAAATACCGTTCAGGGATGAACACATTACCCCTCAGCCGTAAATTCATTTCCCTGCAGTACCTGCGCATTATCTTGAGGCTATATAGATGCTTCACTATAAAGCCTTCTTTTATGAGCGCTGTCCTCGGCTGGCGTAACATTCATTAGCATGAAATGCCATTCCCGCCAAATATGTGAGATAGGCCTATGTTTATCGTCTGCTCGTATCAATAGACAAACCAGGTTCAAGAGCAATGACATGGATGGTAAAGGTCAGGAATAGGAGCTCATGGAAGAGAGAGAGAGGGAGAGAGACAGACAGACAGAGACTGCATGAGAAAGAGAGAAAGGGAGAGAGAGAGAGACAGAGAGAGAACGAAAGTGGAAAAGAGAGAGAGGGTGGTGTACATGTAGAGTATGGACAGATAGAACAGAGGGGGGAAGAGAA